TTCATCTTAAAGGTATAGTCCATCATTTGTAATTTGTGCATTTTGTTCGTTTGAAGCAACAAAAGAGTTCAAAATCTAATGAAGGATACTGAGCAACTAACCTGATGAAGTTTCAGCTAAGCTTCAGCTGTACATTCCGAGAAAAACAGCATTCTAAGATCTCAATTTCAAATCAAACGTTGCTGAATCATGTTTTGAATTGTTTTGAATTGCAACTATACGCAACGTCGCGCACTGATCCGACGAATTACAACAACCGCGCGCGCGTGTGCGTCGTTCCAATACTTGTGCGCGCTTCGCTGAATAACAAAACGAACTACTAATTTAAATTTTCCTACGGTGCTTCTTAAGAATCACCGTTGGAAATGCCTTCTTTCGTTGATTACTTCAAAATGACAGGTTCCCAGAAAGAATAATTTCACAGGGAGTTTAGTCCCCTTACTATCTTTCAACCAAGTTAGTTTTTCAACAATAATTACGCCAGTTACTTCTCGGATGGCTGCAAATGATGGACTCTACCTTTAAGTGGGGTCTGGGAACCAGACAACAAGAGTATGATTGGTTTTCTTGGTTTTTCCCAGCATCTACGAACCCAAAAAGTGAAACAAGTCAGTGTAACAATATTTTCTATAGCATACTAATCCTCCAAATCCATTTATTTCTGAAAATTGCAGCAAAAGCAAATGTTGTACATTCCCTTTAACTCTGGAAGCTGCTTACTTGACGGAACATCATACAAATAGTATCAGCAATTATTCTAATGAAGGCCATTTCGTACTCAGTGTGAAAGCGAATACGAACGCGAATTTATGAGTCACAACAAGTACTGGTATTTTGGCTACGAATTCGCAGAAGTTTAAGAACACATTTTAACTCTGGCGAATTTCGCAGCGAATGTTTTGTGATGTCATATTTGCTTGGCATTCGCATTCCCTTGAAATACCATACACGGGAAGAAGGTCTACCAAATATCTTGTCAGCTTGAACACACTGCAGAAATATATGCGAGGAATTGATACGGAACAGGACACTGTCTTCAAAACATTTTTGCCTACATTTCAAGGATTTAGTCAAGTCCATCATAATTCCAGTCACAAGTAAAATCACAAATCCAGTTCCAAGTAAGAGTGGATGAACAATAACTATGAAATATCTTTGCAAATCAGAGTTCATTTGAATAACTTGTGAGTTGAATGGGACTGATGGAGGACTTGCGATGGACTTGCAGGGACTTGTGATTGACTTGACTACATTCCATACTTTCACACCTGTGTGAGATTAGTTGTAGAAATCCAGTGTTGAGAACTTGAGATACATGTACATGTACTACAGGAAATTCAAGGGCAAAATACATGTAAGAGCTTTGTGATGGTGAATGTACACGTATACATACATGCAACACTGCTGCTGTCAATACATCTTTGACATTTTGAATTCCAACAGATCATTTACTCATCTGTAGACGTAAGAGGAGAGAAAGAGGAGAGAGTATTTTGATTTACTAAGGAATGATGCAAAATTACCTACTCTCAGTTTTGGCAACAACATTCTTACACATACATAATATTTTTACCAGAAACTCCATTTACCTTGATGCAAAACGGGTAGGTTGAACCGCTTGAAGTCTGCTGGTGCAGTAAGTGTGTATAAACCAACTAATGTCCCTGTGCATTGCCTGCGAATTCAATTATTTATTGAGGACTGGTGCAAAATACCGTCTACCAACTCGTGATGGCTTTCACTGAAGTTCCGAGTCTGCGCAGCCATGAGTCTGCGTATTCAACTAGTTGGCTGTGCAAATCTGCAGGGGTCGAGCAAGAGGTCAAGAGCAGAATAATGTCTATTTTGTTGCAAAAAAGAAAAACCTGCACACTCCATTCCAATGCTTGGAAATATGAAAACCAGCCGGGGTTTGTGAGATGAAATGTCTGGGCCTCTGGGACTTGTAATTGGCAATCCGCCAACAGGTCACAGCAATAAGCTATGTACATGTACATCATGTACATTTGTACAGTGTTGCAAAACATAATAATAATAATAATAGTGGATATTTATAAAGCGCACGTATCCACCAGGACTGGTGCTCAAGGCGCTACATCATTATTACCCCTGCTCATTGGGCACATGAAACATTCCAAATACCATCTCAGCTCCCTGGGGAGTATACAGCTCGATGCAGCCTGTTAGGCGCAAGGAAGCTAATTCAATCACAATAACCATCTCTGCCCTCACAGGTACCCATTTACTCCTGGGTGGAGAGAAGCAATGAGTGACTAAGTGCCTTGCCCAAGGGCACACGCACCATGACCCCTCCAGGACTCGAACCCACAACCTGCAGCTTTACCCACAGACCACGAATCAGTGCCCTTAACCAGGAGGCCACAGTACTCCACATCAACATTTCCTGAAGCTCTTGTTGGAGTGGGGGGGGGGGGGGGGGGTTACTGGTTGATGGGGAGAGGGGGAAATGTACATGTACAATGAAGGTGTCCACAATACATGTTATCTACATTTGTACATAAAGAACGATCTGCATTGATGGAGCAGGGTCATACAAGCATGGTGGAAAGGAGACCATGACGACCATTTCATGTCTAATGAAAAGTTGATTACAGAAAAAATCGATAAAATTTGGATGTGTCAAATGTCAGTCTTTAGAGAAGAGAGGACCGCGGCCGATTTAGGAGTGAATGATGTACATTCCCTTTAATAAATATATTTAATTGTTCAAATTAAACCCACTACTTATACTGTACAGGGTAGCCATTATTTACATGTACCGTACGTACATGCAGGAGTATGTACCGGTACATTTACATGTTACAATGTACATTTGTAAGTTACTATACTTGAGTGGCAAGTACATTGCAGGCCACATGTCTGATATGTGTACATTTCGAAGTACGAGTGTCACCTTCACAGCTGGGTTAATCCAGGCTCTGTCAGTCATTGGATAGATCACCTGAGATGTCATGACATTTATGACCAGGTGCAGCGTCAGTCTCCAACTATTTACATAAACATTGTAATTACTGCGCAGCGCTTCAGTTTTCAGCAAATACCGTTCAGCTCACAGAAGTTGACTCTGTAGGGAAGAGCATCATTTCTAATATTTGCTGGTACTATGCATTTGTGCGTTACACCAGTAAAAGATTGACGTGCATACATGTATCCATACCTTGACCATTTGTTCATCAGTGGACAATCATACCACGGATCAAGGAATTTAAGGAAAACAATTTATATGACCGTGACACTCTCACTTTATAATCTTCCAGACAGAAACCTGCTGAGTTTGTTAATTTCAGAATTGTAGAAACAAACCAGATCATCGCGGGACATGTCGCACGATTGTACCACCTGAAGCGGCGCTATTTAATCATCAAAGATCGCGGTTGAGTTATGAGCAATGCAGCACCTGATCCCAGCTGGTCTTAAGCGAGATAATTTAATGACGTTCAGAGCGAGAGCTGACGATGAGTGTGTGGGAAAGAGGAGGGTCAGCGCGTAATATTTGCCTGGTGTGATTGGGATTGGTGTTGGCAGTTGTCACAAGTTTGTTCTTCATTGCTGTCGGCTTCTGTGCTCACCTGGCGTTGTGCGCCTTTGACAATAGGGATCACTCGTCGCGTTCATTTTGCCTTGGGTCAGAACCTGTCATCTTGTGCTCGATCGTCTTGTGGTGCATCGAAGGCTGTGTCTGAATGAAGTGTTGACATCTTTAAGAAACTGTCATTTGGTGAATTATCTGCATCTTTTCTTTTCTTCATGGAGCAAGTGTTGAGTGTCAGGCAATCTTATCGTAGATGTTGACGATATTCAGTTGTGATCTGGCATAATTGTGATTCTTTGGAACAGATGTGGACAGTTTTGATGCAGTCACTGAATCGTTTTTTCTGCTCTGCATTAATGTCAGAAGTTTAAAAAGTGAAGTTTGTTTTGTCTGTGTGAGTCACTCTTAAAGAAAAGGTTGTAGACACATTTCAGAGAATGAAAGTTTGTATTGAAACTTATTTTGCAAACCACTGAAACTGAACTTACTCTGTTCGGACGAAACTGTTTTTTTCACTTTCACAGCCTAATATCTCTGTTGATATCTGCTGTTGAAAATGAACTTGAGCACTGGTAGCTTAGCTATTGTTACTGATATTCTATTTTAAATACACCTGTACATCTATGGTTGTTTTTTTCACGATCAAAGGAATTAAATTAAGCTTGTGTGACAAAAATTGCACAAGTTCATAGCCGAAAATATTTCTTTATGGAAAGTTGGAGACAGCATTGAATCACGTACACATTGGATTATAGAATGCACCGCTGTCACCTATACCTGCGGAAAATCTCACCAGCTTGTGTATTGAATATGACAACAACTGGCATTGTGTTCACAGGTTGGCATTTGGGCTAGATGCCAAAAATCGTCTCTGAATATTTTGTTGTTGTGTGTGTATTTGTCTGTTCGACTTGTGTCAGCATGCCATATGGCCTAGCCTTAGTTTGACATTCATGTAAATGTACATTTGAGCCAGGTACGCACTTGGAGCTTCCTGTTTGTTTACTTGTCAAGTATATCGGGTCGTTTCTGGAATATAATTCACACATTAAGCGAAATGCAATTTTGACTGATTATACAAATGCAACAGGTAGGGCCTACATGTTCATACTTGTGTTGGATGGTTTGAGCCGTGGAATTACAGCAGTATAGCTCCCTTGAACTTGCGACTGCATCGTTTCAATTCCGACCAGTTTTGTGGAGAACAGAAGTAGAAATGACTGGAATGAAGAGATAGTGGCGATGTCATCTTAAAAGCAATCTGCCACAGCACTACGGTTTCCTGGGGCAATCTGCTAAAATGCTGAGGATCTGGAGAATAGGTACCGGTATCTAGTCAAAGTAGAGAGATATATTGCACAACTGTCATCAAGTTAGGTCGACTACAAAATAAAAAAGCATTTGACAACAGCCTTTTTTCAGCAAGCGAAGGACAGAGGAATCATTGGAACTGAGTTTTTAAATCCATTGGATTACCTGTTTTGATGGAGATACTTGCTGTGTGCCAGAAATCTTCCAAGCGGAATCCAATTGAAAATTGACTGGATCTATAAGGTGGAGAAAAACGCAACACAGAAGCAGTGTGCCATATTTGTCTGTGCTTCTATTGTGAACTCACTGGAAGTCAAGTGGAAAAGCTTAAGTTCTGGAAAGCGAAAGTGGAAAACTCTTTGGCCACCTTTGACCCAGCTGACATCTGTTTTCTGGATTTCATGCCGTCACGTGTCTCAAATTTCACCTGTGGATTAAGTTTCCTGGTGGCTCATAATTTCTCCAATATTCAGATATTGGTCTGCTGTCTGAACTCGGAGTACATATACTTCTCTTAATACCTGAAGGAGTTGTGCTGTGCAACAATACTTGGAAAAAATGTTTCATTAGTGAAGTTTTGGAGTGTTTCTTTCAGCTGGGCTGATTTTTGAGTTTTAAATTGTGGAATAACTAGTTGGTACTCCAATATGTCTTTGGATTGGGTAGGCCGATCTGTCAACTACACTCTCATTGATACAGTGGTTTACTGCAAGGTAAGTACCGGTACCAAATTGTACACATTTATAAGCATACTTCTATTCAACTTTTTGGTGTACTATGTACATGTACTTGTACACAAAGTCACAAGTCAAATTTTAGAAATAGTGCTAACTGTCAAATTTACAATTTTAATAGTCAATCATTATTTTGCAAGCCCTATGGTGATCTGGCAGAAAAAAATACTTTAAATTAACAGCGATACAATATAATGGACTTATTCATGCATGACTGCCTCAATTGTAGAATTTCAGATACAGTGTAATATCAAAGGAAGCCGCAGTGTTTACGATTGGGAACAGATGGTTAGCACCCCATTTTTGGACAGTATAAACTGCATATGTGTAGTTCCCCAATTTTGTAAAAGTACAAAGAAAAATGATCGGAACAAAATTGATATTCAAATCTTGAAATTACCTCAGTAATGTACCGGTACATGTGTCCATTAAATGTACGCTTAACATCAGTAAGAGTTATACATGTACCGTACATGTAATTACATGAAAATACAACTTTACAAGTACATGTACACTGTTCATTTTCATGAATTTTACATACCGGTACGTGAACATGTACATGTACATGTATACATGTACACTTGTATGCAGTTTGTACAAAATCGTTGAAATACCAAAAGTGTTTTGTACTTGGAGTATACCGGTGCATACACCGTATTGTACATTATTCTGGAGTTAAACTGTTCATGTACATGTACAAACATCATGATGAACCTGTACATTGTACATTTACAGTATGTAACTCATCTTTTTAAGTTAGCCTTTTACTGATTTTATTGTTACTTCTTTGTATTTTAACATGTGAAATGGTGGGTCGTTCTAAGCTCCTTGCGAGTAATTTTTTGCTGTTACTTTTTTATTATTAATGTGTGTAATAGCGCGTCATGGTACATTTTTAGAGTGTATTTTCTTGTATTTTAATTAATATTTTTACTGTACAGCGCATTTGAACAAAATCATATTGGAATTTGCGCTTTATAAATGAATAAATTATTATTATTATTATTATTATTATGTACTGGTACATGTACATGATGTGACTGTGTGCACATTAAATTATGTATGATATGTATACATGTGCATTTATTTACATGGATGTGTAAATACATGTAGAATGTACGTTGTACAAAATGTACATCACATGCTTTTGCCTACATTCATGTACGTGGGTGTACAAGTATGCGCATGTACCGGTACATGTATACATTGTACATGTACAATTGTACCATATGGCATAAAAATAGTGAACAGATACAGTAAAGACAATTGATGTGTAAAAGACAGCCGACCCAATTAAGTATTTAATTTGCAGGCATCATTTGTTCAATTAGTACTTATTTGCAAAGGGTAACTTTCCTAGTACAAATAAACTGAAATGCCAGAGGCTCCGCGCACTATGCAACACGCAAGTGTATGTTTACTGGCTAAACATTGGTGGGCCGGTAAATCATACCAGCAGATATTGTAATGATGTCATAATGTCAGCTTTCATGGGACTGAATTTGAGTTTGTGTCGGGGCCAGAAGTACCGTACATGTACACAAGGCTCATATTGGGCTGGAAATCAACTTATGGATCACATGACAATCATCTGATTATTTGTGCAATTCCATAAACACCAGATGGACTATACATACATGTACATTGAATGTGCATGTGCGTATACATAATGAAAGTAAAAGAGGGAAGAATTAAAGGGAAAATACAACATTTGCAAACATCAAAAAATAAAACTACCAAATCATTTTGAAATACCTTGCTGGACTGTTAGTGAATGACAGTGTAAAGCATCCTGTAAAATCATGGCACCTGGTATACTGTCATTTTCAAGAAAAGTGGTATTTTTGTATCAATTTCCAACGCTGATCGGCCGATCAGCGTTGGAAAAAACTGGCTTTTTTTCAAATACTGGCCCCAATTGACCATCACGCACTTGTTTGCAATCGATTACACACCTATGAACGGGTACAAGCCAGCTAGACTGGTTCCCTGACCTTACAATTCCCCAATATATGTAAACTGCTCTGTTTCTTCTTAAATGGAGTCAGGGAACCAGACTACAGGAAAACGATTGTTTTTCTTGGGTTTTTATAGCATTTTCGAACCCAAAACCTCAAAAAAGTCAGTGTAACTATATTTGATATATATTTCCAACCCCCCAATTCCATCCATTTCTGAAAATTACAGCAAAAGCAAATGATGTATATTCCCTTTAACTACTGAATATTTTTTGGGGGGTGGGGCTGGGGCTGGGGCTGGGGCTGGGGGTGGGGTGGTTAGGATGACTTTGAAAGCACCAAAAGGAGGTCCTTTCTCTACAGTTAAAGCGAGAGTTCCCACATTTAAAAGGAGGATCACCAAGCATTGACCCATGGGACAGTTGTTTTCACAGCTGTTTCACTTGAACGCCATCATTCAAACGGGAAATACTGAATTACCTAAGGGGTTGGTTTGGCTATTTGCAACACCTCTTCGGACAACCCAACCAGGCCAAGTAGTTGCCAATGTACACGGTGGTCCCGTGATCAACGACTTCCGTCTTTCTGCGAGGCAGTCAGCGTGAATCACAGCGATGGGGATTTTCACTCAAAGTTCATTCGCACTGGCCGGGTCAGTACTTTCCCCACCTGTGATTAGGAATTATATGCAGTTTGCTTTCAAAAATGTGTTTGTTTGTGTCACTCACTCTCGCTCACTCACTCGTTCACCCACAGGCGGGCTAAACATTTGGGGTTTTGTTTGTGTACCTGTATTAATTAACCCATTGTTAGTCCCTATGCTGCCCCAAGCTATATATTTTTTTTATTGAATAAATACATTAAGTAGCACAGGTGCTAATTGGTTAAGATTTGTGTTTTTTGTTGTATTTTAGGAGGGTTGTTGTTTGGATAAAATACAGTGTAGGAAGTTCTGGGGTTTGTTGACTATCGTATTGGGATTTCAATTCAAGACACTTTCTTGTATCATCCGAACTCGCGATCGATATACATTTATAAAGTCATTCTATAAATATTGGGTCCACATTTTTTCCTGACCCCGTTACATGCACATGACATCTGTGATTTTATAATTCTGATGCACTCCTTCCATCAGTCATCCTCCAAGAGTAATTATGAATAGCAAACTACCTACCCAACATATACAAAAATCATTTGAAGTACTTGAATCGCAAATTGCAAAGTACCAAGATAACAGGGACAGACAAAATGTCACACTCCGGACCCTATATTATTGACCTTAGTGCACTATTCATGTCCATCATGGAATATCAGTTTCATGTCATACTTTTGTGCAATTTAAACTCTAGGCTAAAACATAAATAGAGCTTTTGGAAATTCCCACCCCCCAAAAAGAAAGAAAATTGTAAGAAGCTGTTTTCTGGGGATATATAGCAAGTGCTTGGTAAACCCTTCATTAGAAGTCCATGACGTGACCTCCAAAAGTACGTCATTGGTTGAAGGAGTTTGGGTTGGACAAAAGGAACAATACTCCAAGAAATTTATTTGCCTGGCGCACAAGCTCAGTAAAGAGATTTTAAGGATAATCTCCACAAAAAAAGATCATTCATTCTGATCCTTGATTACTTTGATCAATCTCTCTGACCTTTTTTGTACATGGGTTTTAACCGGAGTTGATTTGATGTCAGGGATTTCATGACCTCTGTTGCCCGGATTCTGACCTTGTTACCCTTTGAAATGTTCCCACAGATGTTCAGATTTTCTCATTGAAGTTCCCGAACAACGGGAAAATGTCCTTGCTCTTTTCAAGGTTGAGCCATGGTCCTAAACAACGTACTGGATGAAGCCTTCTAAATCAAAGACTGCGCTAAGTAATAACCACAGAACTTTTTCGTCTAATTCTTGAATAATAGTGTTAGATGTGATCAAGACAGATTGTAGGACTATACTGGCAGCAAGTATTGCCAGCAATTTAGACCCTTTCTCAGGATGGATTTTGTTTATATGGGACCTTAAAAGCATTTTTTTTTAATTATAGATTTCGGAACCTAATGCGCTGAGTAAACTTCTATTAAAAAATTAAATCATATAGAGCTACAATAGCCTACATGCCCATTGTGTACTTTGTATTTGGGGGTTGGTTTGTTTAGAGAAGAATTGAAACTCAATAGGAAAACCAAAATAGTTTAAGTCCAAAATTGTGTAAATAAGTTGAGACATGTTTATTGACAATGGATATTTTACAATAAGTTATGACTTCAGTTGGATTTTATTGGAGTACCCAACAATACATGTGCCAAGTCTGTACATGTATGTATTTGTACATAAAATGTTCTGGTACCCCAGTCACACTAGACCATCAGTAGCAGCATGCTACCATGCATGCATCAATGAACCTGCTAATACCACATTATTAACTATAAATAGACTTATCTTCTAATCCCATTCTAGCAGATTAGCTACTGATAGTTGATCCTAATTTGCATATAACTGATTAACATGTTGAACTCTGCTGAGTAAAAGGGGGGGGGTGGCAGGGAATGAAGCAGCATCCTGCATATATGGAAGGACCGTTACAAAACTAAAACTATAATTTAAACAAATTCACATAAACATGTACAAATGTACAATTGTTTTGGTCTTCCCCCTAAAAAAGGGCAAAAAGCATCACATGTCCCTTTCTGTAGCCCAACAATCTCTTGTAATAACAGCAATTTCTAACAGACATATCCCAACAATTCCCATTTTATGTGCTGAACAGCCGAATAGGGTGGCACACGTACATGAAAACATACTGTCTTGTGTTGCACATTTTTGGGGTGCACTTTTTGTATGCTGTAAGCTTTACGTACACAATGTTCACATCATCATTTGAATATGATTGAAGCGGGATTCGAACCCTCATTCTTAAACCACATGTTTTATCGGTATCTACATCATCGTAAGGTATCTTACAGTCAATGTAGTCTTTCAAGTTTCAGTTAATAACTTTGCGGCAAGGCATGAAACTCAAACATGCCACCTAACCAGGGTTCACTGTTGCAAATTCTTCACTAGAAAAGATAGAAGACAAACAAAAAATTCTCCTTTTCTTTTTCTGCAGGGTGCCCGGGTATGGGTACGTGACCCTGATGTGGTCTGGAAGGGAGGGGAGCTGAAACAGGACTACAAAAAAGGAGACAAAGTCGTCAATGTTGAACTGGAGGATGGAGGGGTAAGTCGCCAGGATTATTGTAGTGACTTCGTTTTTTTTATTTCAGCTTCTAAATTTCAATCTAAAATTTACTGTCGAGTATTTTCTTACTTGATTTTGTGTCGGAAAATAATCAGAATATGTACGTATGTAGCACATCTTATAATAATAATAATAAATGGAGCATTTATAAAGCGCTTTTAACAAAGATCAAAGCGCTGTACAAAACTACAAAACTACAATCTACAAATAAACAAGGCAAAAACAAAAAAACAAAACAAAAAAAAACCCCTTAATTTAAGAATAACTCAAGGGAACCAGGAGATAATGAGGGGTAAAGATGAAGGTGAATTGATTAAAGAAACAGATGTGTTTTGAGAGATTTCTTGAAGGTGATGATTGAAGAAGCAAGTCGGATCTTCATATTAAGAAATGAGTTTCAAATGAAACTTGATGACAATTCTAATAACATTTTTGCTTACTGTAAATAACAACACTTCTGTAAAATGCATGTACTTTTATGAAGCTGAAATAAGAGCTACGCAAACAAAATAATTTTCCAGGATGTGAATTATATTATATTCTGATGTACATGTAAATTGCTGGTTTTATATGAATTTTTTTTCTTAATCGTCCAAATCTAAACCTGAAACAGGACAAAACCCTCCAACTTAAGACCAAAGAAGACCTCCCCCCGCTGAGGAACCCAGATATTCTGATTGGTGAGAATGACCTGACGTCTCTCAGCTATCTCCACGAGCCGGCGGTCCTCTTCAACCTCAACGAACGCTTCATTCGAAACAATGCCATCTACACTTATTGTGGTAAGTTTGGTAAGGCTGCGAACACCGACTAGTATTCAAGTCCTCAAAGCCTGAGTCCATGTTAAGAAGATGATGGTAAATGTGTTGGAAAAGTGCTTCCCTGAACAAAAATTAAGCGTGAAGCACAGCAAAAGACTACTAAGGAGCACTGTCTGTATACCGTTATGCACTGTGCGTGATAGTTCCAAAACACGACTCCAATTTCCACACACATAATGATGTGATTGCTACACATGAGTAACATGACCGTCAAGTATCTAAAAGGTTTATAAAGTCATAAATGCAATTGGTTTATGATTCATTAAAAAAAAAAAATTAGTCAGGAAGTAAAATGTTTATATTTACATTCCCCTCCTTTGGTTTTTATTTATTTATTTACTTATTTACACCTGGTAATGAAACCAAGGATTCCTCAAAAGCGCCCTAGGCACTTTAGCCCGAAAGCCTGAAGAAACCTGTCTAGAGAAGACAATGAGAAGAAGTTACAGTTTTAGAGGTGGGAGGAAAAGCCCCGAAGAGTATTCTGGGAAAACTCACGGAATCAGGTAGGGACTGAAAACCCAATCCACATATTGGCCCGGGCGGGATTCGAACCCGGCTCACATCGGTGGAAGGCGAGGCAAGTACCGCTACGCCAACCTGACTCCCCAAACTTTGTCTCAGTAACACATGTACAGACACACATGTTCCGTAGTTGTGGGGACTACATACGAGTTATCCCATGGTACTATGGGACAGCAGAAAGTCTCCACAACTGGGTCCTAATGTTCCTAACAATAAAAAAACTTAATGCGGTGACGGCCGGCCCATGTATTCATGTATGTACACACATATATATGCATGAGTGTTGGAATAGCAAAAGAAAATTTGTAAAGTGTAGTTTAGTGTTTCATTAACCTAACAATATATACCCGTATCTTAATTTATTGCCCAAATAATTTTATTGCTTTGTCCTCTGTCATTGCTATGGAGACCATCTTGATACTCAGAAATCAATGAATCGCCATATGTCATTTGTTTTTATTTTACACACGGTGGGTCCAAAGTCTGATGCAAATAAAACAACATTTGTTATTGTTTGCTGTGATGTTTGAAAGCAGTTTTTTTCTTGTTTATTGAAAACAAAGATAGAGCGACATGCGAAGACTTGTGTGGGTTAAGCATTAAAGAGCACCGCTGAATAATGCATTTTTTGGACACTTTCACTTCTTTTAAACAAAGTCTCTCAACCAAATAGATTTTTAAAATTTCTGACGGCTTAGATCTTAAATATAAAATATGCTCACTGTGATTTATGTAATGAAGCAAAAAATCTTCATCATCGTACTTGACTATGAATTAACAAGAAAAAAGTTAGACTTATGTATTTTGAGCACCAAAAGTGGGAATTTGTGGACAGCCTAATTTAACAAAACCATAAACCATTGAACCAAAGTGAACCAAAATACTATTACGTTTATTGAAGTACATGTAGTTTAGTACTTTTATTTAAATTTCCATAATAAAGATAAGATGTAATTTTTGAGCTGTAGTAAACTTACATCAATAACCTTGGATTCACGTCAGTTTGTGATAAAAATGGTGCCTTCGGTCATTCATGAATAAGGGCTGTTGGTCCCTTTCGAAAAAATGAACAGCAAGTGTTCCAAGTTTGGAAATGCTCCCTTTATCAAACAGTCCTCAAAGTCTAAGCTAGGGATGTAAGGGAGTCCATCACATGTCAGTTCAGAAGTCCAGTCACAAGTAACAGTGGATGAACAATAAAAAGGGATTATCTTTTTCGAAATGCATTTGAAGAGCTTGTGAGTTGAATTGGGACTGGAGGACTTGTGATGGACTTGCAGGGACTTGTGATTGACTTGACTACGTCCGCGTTCTAAACTGTGCGACTCGTATTTTTTTCCCCTGGTGTCCAGGCATCGTGCTGGTAGCCATCAACCCATACCAGCAGCTCCCACTCTACGGTGAGGATGTCATCTATGCCTACCGGGGTCAGGACATGGGGTCCATGGACCCTCACATCTTTGCCGTGGCGGAGGAGGCGTTCCGGAGGATGTCTAGGTAAGGTTTCAGCACCCTCTCCAATTGGCATGTGCATGCGCACAGGCCCTCTAAAGCAAAATTGTTGTTTTGCCATTGCCAAACTTTGGGTCTCATTTGACCTAGTCAAATTTGCACGAAAGTTTCCATCGTCTGTTTGGTTGCACGAAAAATTGGCAGAAGTCAGATTCGGTTACCGCGTCCATCGTAGTCTTTTGTGCATTCATCTGCCGTATTTATCCCGAGGTAAAGATGGTCGAATCTTGTTGTAGACATGCACAGTTGGATACCAAACTGGCTTGTTTTCTACCTGAATAGAGCCTCTCAAGTCACCCCGGTCCTGACCAGGATTGAATTTTACCTGTTTAGAGTGACGGCCCATGTAAAAGCCTTAATGGGGTCTTGTTAGGGTGAAAGGGGTTCCTGAAATCCAGGGTTCGACCCAGGTCCAACTCAAAGATTTTGAACTGGGTCAAAACATGTATTTATGCATGCGCGCGCATAACGTAGTGTCAAACTGGGCCAAGTAAATTGCTAGATGTGTCAATAGGTTGTGATGTGTGTGGCTATTGGTAGGAGATTAGTGCATTTCTCCAAGTTCAAAGCAACAAAAAAATTAAACACCCTAAACCAATTTAGAAAAGAAAAAAAATGGGGGGGGGAAATAGAAAAATATGTCATATTGGTCTTTTGATGTATTAATTTTTTGTACAGACAGCTGTACGTGTAATTCAAGAGTGATCATAAATAGTATAGTCCCATCAGAATTTCTATAATTTATTGGTCGTGCTCCAGTGATCATAGGATTGCATTTCAAGGTTTTAAATTGGAGCTGGATTTTTTTATTAGTTATGAAGCATTTCGAGCCCACATACATTGTACTTTTAGGCAGGGTCAAATAATTAGTTTTTTAATTATAATAATATATCTGCAGCACATGTAATTTTTCACTTTGTGCATTGTCATTGTCTTTGTTTTAAGAATTAATCTCAGCATGGAGATTCTTTAACAGGAACTTCTTTTTTTGTTTAAACTTTCGCAAGTTATTGTTATCATTTACATACAGCGACGAGCGTGTGTCAATAAAAATGTAGCAGTCAATCCATCAATATTAAAAATACCACCACTCTCTATTTTGCAAGCTTATCTATGGGGTCTGAAAGTAAAGTAAATACTTATCTATAGAGTCTGACTGTATAGTGACTACTCTACACAATGGTCTTTATCCCATCTCATTTGGACACCCCAGTCCAGAGATACAGCTAATTAAATGAGAGGACTTGAATTCCAAGTTGGGCCGCTTTTCAGATTATCTGGTATCTGATGAAATGCATTCATGGTGTGTGAATTCCTTTCATTAGATACATGTACCAAATAAACTGAAAAATGGCCCAAACAGATTTTGACAGTCTTTACTGGCTTTGCCGTAACTTTTAAACAAAAATGTCCAAATCACACAGATCATTAATCCTTTCGAGGATAAAGAAACACTCTATCATTTCATGTTAATTTGTTTTTACAAAAAAAGTATTTAAAAAAAAAGAAGCTTTAGTTTCCTCAGATAAAAATGTTCGACTGCTACATTTTTTTTAGAGACACGCTGTATGTACACAATGTTTGACTGTTATTATCTAAAATAAAATGCAATCATGTGGGAGGATCTGTGCAGGAGTATAAACCTTCTTTTGTTTGTCAGAAAGAGACTCACAGTAAAAAGATTTCACAAAGTGCCTTCTTTTGATTGTAAAGGTAGTGCAGCAAACCTCCATAACACCAAATGTAGATGTAGGAAGAAATATAGTCTGAAAAATTTAACCAAAGATATATTAACAAGTGTCTTTTTTGCACATGTTTAGAGAAAAGTCTAATTCAGAAATTCCTTCAAAATTCCCAGAATAGGTGTTCCTCAAGTCAGCCGAGCTTAACTCGTATTATCTTAAACCAGATCATCAGCCAAGGGGAAATTCAGACATATGTTGAGAGTGAAGTTGCAAACTCACTCACTTACTGGAATTGGGCCAAGAGATTGAAAGGGATTTTTTTCAGAGTTCCGGAGAACATGAAAGTATTAAGGCTTGGGCTGTAGTCAGGATGCACAGTCGGGAATGACTTGTAAGGATAAAAAGGGAGTTGCACTTTTGGATATGTGGCAAATGGAAATTGGAGATAAAATGGGATTTGTTGAAATGACGGGAAGTGACATTCAGGGAAGGAGGAAAACAGTTGCAGTTGTGGTTATCAACTTAAATGGTTATGGTGTTGAAAAAAAAATGTGATTTCCATTCAAGAGCAGTTACATACATATGTGCAATGTACATCTTTAATTTGTTCCATCTTTTTCTCTCTCTTTCCGATGGGGTGAATTATACATGTATGTATTTAGTTTAATGGTCATTCCATATATTGGGCTTGTATTGAATTAAATATGTCTTAGTGGATAGATTGGATGTGGAATTAAAATTTTCACTAATTTAGTTTAGTAGAATAGATAAAAGAAAACAATTCTACATTTACAAGGATCTTATGGCATGAAATATGTCAATAAGACTTTATTTCCATTAGTGTTCTGTTATGCATGATAGTGGAATTTGCCTACCTTGTGGGTAAAAAGAAACTCATGTAAAAGAGGTACTGGAAAGAAAGTAGGAGAAAATAACCCATAAAAGTTAAAGAGAAGAAATTGGCTTTCACTTAAAGAAGAAAGTCATCTTGAATGTCAACATCCTTTAATGTCTCTGTCAAGGATTTCACCCCCCCCCTTCCTTCCTTCCCTCTGAATGATGCTCTATGTTTTCTTTGCCCCTCCGCTGGTTTACCTTGTGACAAGTCATAACTGTTGAAAGTGGGCAAGACTGAACTATTGTACGGTAGCTTCCTTCACGTGTCCAGCCGAGACATAGCGTAACAAAACTATAAACCAGGCCATCCTTGCAGCCAGGAACTTAAAGGGAATGTTTTACAAGTTAATAATCTAACTTGAGTTTAAATGTCACCTAGACTACGTGTACGTTAAAGGTACATTGGATAATTTGCTTTTTTGTGTATGTTTTGTTCGTTTTAAGCAGCAAAATTGTCCAGTATCTTAAGAAGGGTGCATGACAACTAACTTGTCAAAGTCTTAGCCCAGTGGATACTTTACATTTTTACGAAAATAGAGTTATTCACAAATGTTGCTAAAAACTGTGCCAGCAGGCACACTTTCTTCAACCAACTTCAATGATTGGTGTTTTTTTTCCAGAATGATACCATTTCCGGTGGAATGATATCACAGGGTATTTGGTATCAGTCCAATCTTCACTTTGAGCAAGGATTTTCTTGTTAAATCAGATATGCACATTTCCGGGTAATTGAAAATGTACACTACGTTCCTTTAAAGGAAGCATAACCCCGTATCAGTCATCAGGCATAGGGAGTGAGATACCTCGGATAAGTTACCCCCCCCCCCCCCCCCCCAGCATTTGGAAAAACCAGACAGGATTATTGGAGGCACTGATAAACCAATAGCCCATAGTGCTGTGACATTTGGAGTAATTACAGTTTTTTGGAGTTCTGCCATATAGTGCTTGCGTATGATTTGTATCCTTTTTTGGGGGTATACACAAGCACACATGCCCTTGTTGCTAGGTGACACAAGGCCCTCAAGAGACGGCAGGTGTTACAAATAATAAACGATCAAGTAACATTAAAACAAAAAGAGATTTAAAAACGGGTAATTCAGGATATCCTACAAGGGTTTGGTAACATGGCATTGTCAGCTTTTGAAGATACTTTCAAATTTTCTCCATATTGTTTTGTTTCCTCCTAAATTAACAACACATGAATAAGTTAATGCACTCCGCCATCCATGCTGCATTAATTATCTGACTCACCCACTTGATTTGAGTTAAAACAGCAACAATATTTCACGTGCTGTCTTTTTGTCCACTGCCCAACACAACGAGTAGGCAGATGTCATCAAAAACTCAGCATTTTTTTATTGGCAGCTTTTGCATAAATCCTGTATAGATTGGTAGACCACCATATTCAGTTGAAGTCCCTCCTTGATTTTGTGGATTTATCCATTTCCTTGATATAAAAATATGTTGCTTGGGATGTTGCTGACTTCTAAATACTGTAAAATCATTTAACGTTTTCTTAAGTCTGCCTAGAATAAAGAACAAAGATACATGTACTAGAGTTGACACTTTAATGTTATGAAGACTGAAATTGAAAAATCATCACTTTGAATCAACATATTTCCGAATGTTTCAAGATCTACCACTTGGATGGATAATCTTTTTTTCTCAGTTTAACAATTTCCAAAGAAACCATCAGAGAAGGTGATAACATTATGCAAGTTAGTGTGAAAATGACCAGCAGATCCAACAATTAACGTTGAATTCTTCGCTTGTGACGTTTCCAGACAAACCGAGAAGCGACAAGCTACAGATGTTGTAGTTAACCAAAAAATAACAACATGTACAGAAAAAAAAATCTGCAAAGTTTGATTTTGACAAGGGTGTGAAACTTTTGAATGTTCTGACTCACTCTTATGTTTTTTTTTCTTTGTTTCCATTTTGGGTAATATTCTCCCCAGGTTTGATCAGAATCAGTCGATCATCGTCAGTGGGGAGAGCGGGGCAGGAAAGACGGTGTCTGCCAAGTACGCCATGCGATACTTTGCCATGGTGGGCGGCTCCTCAGCGGAGACACAGATTGAGAAGAAGGTCCTCGCATCCAATCCTGTCATGGAGGTAATTTAAACAAAAACAAAAACGAATGAAAGGTTTGCGGAAACACCATGTGCGAAGAATTTGTCAACTAAGAGGATGGTTCTTTCTTTTGGATTAAAAAGAAGGGCCTCGCGTCAAATTCTGTCAAGGAGTTTAATAGTAAAAAAAAGAAAGAACAAACAAAGACATACAAGAGGAAAGAAGTCCGTTAGTTTGTTAAAAACAATGATTGATTTGCCATATTGTGGATCTCCTTTTCTTCCAAGATGTCTGGTCCCACATCGAGTTTGTGGATCCGTAAAAATGCTTAAAATCTGTCAGTATGAGGTTTTTTTGTTAACATGACAACTTTAGCCTTTCATTAGAGGTTAGCCTTTTAGAGGTATTTCAGCTGTACAGCTTTTCTTTACCGACTCGCACAGTCTGCAACATACATTTCCATATCTGGAAAATTGACCTGGTCACTTATACTTAACAAAGTTTGGTCAGTAAATGTAACCACTGGGTTTGGGAAAAATAACCGAGATTTACCATCGTCTTGGTGAGTTTTACTCAAAAAAGTTGGGGAAACAGCTTTGGTGTCCCTCTGTGTTCTGAATCCCTTCTTTAATACATGTACATATATGTGACTTAACCCAGGCTATTGGTAACGCCAAGACAACCCGCAACGACAACAGCAGTCGCTTTGGCAAGTACATCGAGATCAGCTTCAACACCCAGCATCACATCATAGGGGCCAACATGCGCACCTATCTACTGGAGAAATCCCGCGTCGTCTTCCAGGCGGAGGAGGAACGCAACTATCACATCTTCTATCAGCTCTGCGCCTCGTGCAACTTGCCTGAGCTGGCGGCGCTCAAACTAGGTGAGTGTTTGTTGGAGGGTGATTCCATATATTTGGGGCCCAATTTTAGGGGTTATTGTCATCGCCTACGGTGTCATGGCCCGCCCCACATTAATGGAATGAAAAGATCTTTTCCCCAGATTTGTAGTTACAATGTAAGTCATCACTAGTCAATCACAAGCCAATCACAAGTCATCACAAGCCAATCACAAGTCAGTCACAAATCATCACAAGCTAATTACAAGTAATCCTTGTCATGGGAGAAGCTACATGTATTCAAATGAACATACCGGTAAATTGTAGGGTTTTCCCAACTAAAAGAGATTTTATCGTTTGTCTCACTGAGTTTAGTGTATACAAATTTTCACATCCATTTTAGAAACTATTCCGTCCACTTTCAAATTTTTTCCTCTCATTTAAGAAAGGCTAAATGTTCTCTTTTAATCATAGCTTTGATAAAATGTCTGGTAGAACAAAAATTAAAACCTTAGTTTATGATAACGTTTAGGGTTTCTCTGAATATTCTGGAAAGTTTATTTGAAGTGACTTTCTGCAGATAAAGCTAATTTATAAATTCTTGAGCAACACTATGGTACATGTTCAGATTGAAAAGCCGAGTTAAAAAGGCATTTGTATACAAAACGGGAAGTGTGTATGTAATTGTTTTAATAAATCAAAGAAACACGGATATGCCGAAGATGTCATGCAGTGACTAAGGTATCAGAAAAAAATCCCACTCTCCTTATAAACCAATCCACTTCTTGGAACAAAGGCAGCATTGATATTGCAATATCTGCAGGAAATGATCTGGTTTCACTTCCATATTTTTCTGATCGTTATCGGTTTGACTGAGCCACAGTCCACCCTGACTTCCTCTCTGTATTCCCCAATACAGGATGCTCTGTAATGTCAACTGCTTCCTCCAAAGCTACTCACATGAACTCATCAATTTAGCAGTGGGATTGGGTTTGGGGAAATTCTCAGCTGTGTCACTAAGGGATAAGAAACGGGAAGATAGGTGTATAAAACAAATGTTTTTTTTCTGTTTGCAAATAAATTTGTTTCCTTTTGAGATTATTCTCATTTCTGTTACGACTATTGTCATAATCATCTTGTGCATACAAACGGTATGTACGTGTCATGTAACTGTATTTAACGTCAGTTGAAATTTGCTAAACAATATTTTGTGAAAACATTTTTTATTTTTTATATTTTTCTTGAGAATGCGCAAATACATACATATTTATCATTTCAAAGCCCTATGTAATAGGTAAAATTGAAAAAGTTTCTGAACAATTGAAAAAAATTGGAAAAAAATTTACTGCAACTTTTCAGTCTCTTAATGAAACTATGTTTTGTTCCTCTAAGATAAATTTAAGTAAAAACGATGTAAAATGAATTGCATTATCGATTTTGTTTTTTTACTTCAAAACGTACAAACTTTTGAAGCATACGTTTTTGACAGCAAAAATTCATTGTCCTGATTCAAAGGCCACCTTTGTTACAGTTTTAAACACTTTGCGGTGGTGTTTAAACAGCGGTTTAAAAACCCACCCATGTGACAGGCTCTCGACTTATAGGAATAGGTAAACTGTCTCAAGTGTTTATGAATGACAGTTTAAAATAAGGACTTTTAATTTTGTCAATTTCTTACTGTATGTGTATTTGCGTAAGGCTGTTGCCTTGCACACTTGATAACTCCGTTTCTAGTTCATATATATTATTAAATCATACACAACACTCAAACTCTCAGCTGATAAGCCACAGTAAAATTTTGTATTTTATTATTCATGAAATATTCATATCACCCCTTCTTGAATTAGAAAGCTACCTTGTCAAGGAACTACGCAAATAAGCACAACAATTCCCTCCTTCCCCTACCCCTCCCCCTCCCCTTCCTTAATGATTCATTCTGGACATGTGAAACTGGCAAAGTCAGACAAGTCTCATAAGAAATGGATTTCCCTCCATTTATTTTCCCCTATCGTAAAAACAAAATGAGTTAACTGGAAGCAAAATGTCAAAGGGCGAACATGATTCTTTTTTTAGCTGTGCACGTGGGCTGTAGACATTTCCTTTGACACATGCAGCGTCTAGATTTGGCATTATTTATGGTGCAGGGTATACATGTATGTTGACGGGGAACTTGAGCAGACGACGGTTCTTCGTATGACGTTGGAATCTGGTGTGACGTGGGAAACTTGTCTAAAAGTCGCAGTTGTTGAACTGTAAAACCAGACAGGCCAAGATCTAAATAACTCTATAACTCTATAAACCAAAAAAGAATTGCTTGTGTTTGTTGGGTTTTTTTTTCATGGGGTGGGGTTTATATTTGTATTTTTTTGTCTTCTTTATTTTGGGGAGAAAATGTTCAGCTCTTGTAGATTCTTCTTCCTCAACAGGGGCAAGTTGTAACCCCTGTGTTTGTCAAAGAACTTGCCCCAAAAGTTCAAAGAACATTTAAATTTAGTGATGTTTGCTTTCATAAAATCTTGAAAAACTAAAAAAAAAGAAAATTAATGTCAAAAATTGTTGTAACACCAAAAATCAATTTGAAACAAATATAAGTCAGTTAATATTGGAAAGTAAGCGTTCCCCGAAACATCTCCTGCAATGTTTATGAAATGCAGCACAAATAGACTTGTACATTACTCGTTTTCAAATTCAAATGATGACTTTTTGTCATCCCAGGTCACCCGGATGAGTTTTTCTACACCAATCAGGGAGAGAGCCCAACTGTAGACACCATTGACGACGTAGCAACGTTTGAAGAAACAAGAGATGCCCTGGCTTTACTAGGTAAAAAGAAAAAAACTAGGTCAAAAGAAAAATATTAGGTAAAAGGAAACATTACCAGGGTAAAAGAAGAAAAAGTTCTCAATGCAAAGAGACTCTTTATTGTACATACGTACATGTATGTGTAACTGCGGCGCGGAACATTTCTGATGGACACAGATTTTTGGACGGCGTATTTTCAAAGTTTCCCCATAGGCTAGTTTCATCTCTGCAAATGGCATCAGGCCTTATTTACATGTAAAGTGATCTAAAAGATTAGGGTTAAGGTCTTTTAAAAATAACTGATCGTTTTCTAATAAAAGTCTCATCAAGGGACACTCTTACAAATAGTTGAACGAAAAACACACACAAAAATAGCCACTGTAACCTGTACTGCTGCGCACGCTATAATATTGAAATGAACTGACAAAGGTTCTGTGCCAGAGTTATTGCAATCAAGAAAAACCATTGATTCTCCACATCATTTACTTCCCAGGCATGCCGGTATGTGACATGATACACCAAAGCTTATCTGGGAAACAGTACAAATGTACAGTTAACATGATATATATTCCATTCCAGTGAAAGTTCTATTGATTTTTGTAGTCATTAGTTTTGCTGCCATATTGATTGTGACACAGTGACCACAGACAAATTCCGACGGAATTTCAAATAAATGTTATCATTCTGCCCCTGAAAAAAAAAAAAAAAACGATTGTGAAAAATTGTTCAAACCTTTAAATGCATTTTTCTTTTCAGAGCAGTTAAGTCAAACTTAACAAATTGTTAATTTTCAATTTTTTTTTTTTAAACTTGAACAGCTGTCAATTAAGTTTTAATCCATAGGTATGCCAAAAGTATGTACATTTTAAACATTGATGATCTAACACCCTAGTATTCTGGTTAGAGTTTATTTTATCCATTCCTTTTTTCAGGTTTTGAAGAAGAGCACATGCAGCAAATGTTCCGGATTATCGCCGCCGTGTTGCACTTTGGGAATGTGGACATCAGACCCGGCGACCATGAGAGCAGTAAAATTGAGGTAGGATGTCAGCCTAATAATAATAATTCTCCTCAGTTTATAATATCTGAATTTTGGTGAATACTGACATGATCGCAGGTTTTTGTTTAAGACTTCTTTTCTGAACTAGCTACCACATATCGTCGTGTCCGTGCAACAAGGTCGTATCTCCTAAAATGGGCCGTATGTTCAGCGCGAGTTTCAGAATTTCAAAAGGTCATATCTCACTTTAAACAACCCGGATGTACACACAACGTCGATGGACGTTGAGATACAACCTTGTTGCACGGAGCGCATTCGCGCGAGACACGACTTTGTCGCAGAATGGAGTTACGACCTTGTTGCACTGACGCGACGATATTAACTATGTTTAAAGGCACGTTGGAACAGCGAGTTGTAATTTCCTAGACACGGAGCTACCAATTTAATGAGAAAGTGAAGATAGTACTTGTACCAAAATCCCTGTGAAATTATTCCAACCAAAATGGTATCACTTGCAAGAAAACAATCATTGAATGTGGCTTTAAAAAGTGTGCCCGTGGGCACACATTTTTGTTAGCAAGGGAATCCGCCCAAAACTGTTGGCATTTGTTTTCTCAAAATATACAGTAGTCCACTGTGCTGAAACTTCCACAGGTTATGCACCTTATAATTTTAAGCAATTTTGTTGCTTTCAAAAAACAAATGTACAAACAAGCAGCAATTGATCCTATGTGCCTTTTAGCTGAATACATGAAAGGTGTCCAAACGTTTTATTGGTTGTTTGTTTTTCCCCATGCAGAAGAACAATGAGAACCTTACGGCGCTGTGTGAGCTGTTGGGAATCGAGGAGGTGCAGATGAAGAAGTGGCTATGCAATCGTAAGATCGTCACGGTCCGGGAAATCCTGACTAAACCGCTCACCAGAACCCAGGTACTGTAGTCACTGGATAGTCAAACTGCTGGGGGTCAGTCTTGAAATCTACATAGGAACAGAAGAAATGAGATATTCTGCACAATTTAATAGGATAAGAATCTCATTCAAATCCTAACCCAAACCTTAAACCGAACTCTAACCCTAACCTGAACCCTTACCCTAACCCTAACTGAACTGCTGAGAGCAAAAGACACAAATAATCTTTGGGAAATTTCAAAGCCATTTTTGAAGACAGAGTAACAGTTTTCTAAATCCACATAATTAAGGAAACCTGCGTGGCTATCTTGAAAGATGTTTTGCATTTTTATTCTATTTTGAAAATGGAAGTTAAGCTCAAAGAGTTGCCGACTGTTAGAAAGTCATTTAGGGCCGTTTCAATTCATATTGGGGACGAGTTCTAGACAAGTTGCGGGGAGAATCGTTCACTTTGTTCGGAAGAAGCTCTGCACTTGTTCCGGGACATGTTCTGGGGAAATTTCATAAGCAAATGCTTGACTCACCAATACTGATAACTTCATTGCGGGAAGATTGCGGGGAAGTTGTCCAGAAACCTGCAACTTATACCGGATACGATGTCCGCAACTTGTCAGAAACTCGTCCCGGATATAGAATTGAGACAGGCCCTTAGAAAGAATCACATTTCCTTTTACCCCTTGAAGTTGTAAACATGCATGTTTGTACCCATCTTAACCCGTCTCCATATTCTCCTCCTGTCTTGTAGGCTGTGTTCTCCCGAGATGCTCTAGCCAAGAGGATCTACTCCGAACTCTTCTCCTGGATCGTATCTCAGATCAACAAGACCATTCAGGTCACTAGTAAAGCTAAGAGCTTCATTGGCGTGCTGGATATCTATGGGTGAGGAATTGAAAAAGGAAAAACAACGCTCTGCTTACCAAGCTAAGACTTGTTTGGATCAGTCTAGGCGTGATTTAGCCACTTCCTGATGGGATGATTTTTGGCCAAAAACACCATTTTTGAAAAAGACAAGATATATTGGCCAAATTTGAAAATTAAGTCAAACACTACAAATACTGACTCTTGAGAGTCATTTGTGCAATATTTGAATGATACTTCTCACCGTGACTTCATATTTTGCAACACTCCGAGGCACCACCACAAAGTGATATTAGCTACGACGACAGGCCGTATACAGTGGCCAAGTTCAAGTTCAGATCACGGTGTGTGCCAAACCAATGGGAACCACTGGTGTGTATACACATCCACCGCCGGAGTCTCGGGGAAAGCTAGACAATTTAACCCGTTGCCCATCCCTGCGAATATACATCGCCAGATACACATTCTCCGTCATTACCTGGTTAATGATTGTGCTTAGTAGAATTTTTCAATTTTGTAACATATCATTACCTATGCTGATGTAAAAGTTCATGGAATACGGCACCTGCTTCTGTACCAGATTTAATTGTGCAAGCCACCTGTATTATACATAATTTTACATCCTGAAAACATTGAATCAAACAACAAATAGGCAAAAGCTTGAGCAGAGAAACCTCCCACATATAAAAAAGTTCAGGGTCGGAGAGAAAAGATATGAATCACGAATCTGTCAAATTAATAAGCATTTGCCAAGTACGACTTTGAGAAAAAAAGTTAGTCCTCAAACTGCTCTACAAATCGGCTAATCCTGTGGGTAATCCAATGACAGGTTGTTAGCTCAGTCACTTTCCCTCCACCTGTTGCATCTTTCCTGTACTTCTTGGTCCACTTTTGCGTGTTCCAAGGTAGAGACATCAAATCCATTGACATTTAGCTTCTAAGAAAAATTATAAAACTGGCCTTGGTTGCCAAATTGGATACACTCATGAGTAATTACGTAGGGATGATTTACAAAATTGACTATTTTTTCTTTGACTTTTTTTTTACAGGTTTGAGATGTTTCAGATCAACAGCTTTGAGCAGTTCTGTATCAACTATGCAAACGAGAAACTCCAGCAACAATTCACACAGGTAAAAACGCTTGCCCCACCCCCCCCCCCTCCCCCCCCCCAAAAAAAAAAACTCTTGAAAAAGGTGCAGTTGAGCCACAAAATTGAATTGCAATGTTTTCCCAAAACCTCTGGTTTTAACTCTCTACTAGGAAACAAATGACATGTTTTCCGTTAGGTATGTTGGAATTTACTCAAGTTTTATCAATTTTGCTTGGTTTGGATTCTCAGGGGAAAAAGTGTTACACTGTAAAAGCATGTAAAAACTTGTTCTTCAGTGCAATTGATTAATATCCTCTTGACCAATGAAATAAAAACCACAAACATAATCACAAATTTGAAGCTTTGGTTTGGAGTATCATCTTGATGTAAACAGCAACGGCAATAAAATGTTCAATTCAAAAAGTATAAATAAACTTGACTTTTCTGTTAAAAAGTTACATGAATTGCTTTTATTTCAAAAATGATCTTTTGGGTACAGGTCATTCAAGGAAGTCCTCTCGCAATTCCCTGATTTCAGGGTTTTGTTTTTCTCAATATGTCAACAACATATTGGCATCACACGTGTGTGTACTTTTCCTTTATACCTGAAATTTCAGGTAAAAATGTTGGGAGTTAAATCACATCCTGATCATTGTATGACGTTTTCAAGTATGACACTGTCTGAAGTGAAGGGAGCCCTCTGTTGGTCAATCAGTGAGCAGTTACCAACAGTTCTTGCATTTCTTCATTTCTGTGTTTGTCTCCTCGCAGCACGTCTTCAAGTTGGAGCAAGAGGAATACGTCCGGGAGCAGATCGAGTGGTCTTTCATTGATTTCTATGACAACCAGCCGTGTATTGATCTCATCGAGAACAAACTGGGTATTCTGGACTTGCTGGATGAAGAATGCATGGTGAGTAGAATTGGATATTGGATAAACAAGACGAAGCAAGCCTGGTAGAGCGAGTCCCAGAGCGCACAATGATTCGATTCAATTTATTCAGAAGGGCTAAAAAAGTCATAAAGTAAAAAACGTAAAGTCTGTCGTGAGCCAATGTGACCCATCAGGCCGGTGTTAATTTCCGGTTTCAGTGGCATGAAACGACTGAGAATATTTCTATTCCCCCTGGATGGGATGCTAGTCCATCGCAGTTTACTCCCCAGCTAATGCCAGTACCCATTTATACTCCTGGGTGGAGAGAGGCAAGTGGGGGTGAAGTGGCTTGCCCAAGGACACAACATATGATCAGCAGCTGGATTCGAACCCCTGACCCTCTGATCATGAGTCACAAACCCTAACCACTTGGCCACACTCCCCTATTCGTAAAATCAGCTGTATTGCTGATGAAAATGAAAAATCTGCTTTCGCCATTCGCATCTATAGAGATTTGACTATAGACCTTTATCATGCTGCCGCCATTTCAGTCATTTTCCCTGTATCCAATAACAGTACTGAATGATAATGTTTTTTGTGCAAAAAGGAACCAGACTATTTTTCCTTCCAGCCTCACATTGGTTACGTTGATTTGTATGGGAAAAAAATCAAGATGGCCGCAACATGATAATGGTCTATTGCCTACACATGTATCATGCAAATACTTGAAACAAGCAGTGCCTAATAAACATGTGTGGTTCAGATTGCCCTGGAAACAGGCGACAGGCAGCGAAATCGCCTTCCCCGCGAAGCAGGCAAGGTGAAGCCTCATCTAGAATATGCCAGACATTGTAGATGTGTACATGTATTATACATGGATGTACAGACTGAGGACAGCATTCTTTTCAATAAGTCATTTTGTGAATCTGTTGAATGCAGTTGCCCAAAGGGTCGGATGAGAACTGGTGTCAAAAGCTGTACAAGAGCCACAACAACAGCAAGCATTTTTCCAAGCCCCGCATGTCGCAGTCGGCGTTCGTCATCCACCACTTCGCCGACAAGGTGGAGTACCAGTCGGACGGCTGCGTGGAGAAGAATCGAGACAACGTCAACGAAGAACACATCAACATACTGAGGGGCAGCCAGGTAGGTTGATAATTCCTACCAATAGGGGGTGTTGTTTAATTACATTTGAAGATGCTGAGGGGAGTGTCTTATTTTTTGGGAGGAGGGGTGTTCTAAACCTCATCTGTCTTCAGTTTCAAGATATTTTCAGGCCCCTGGGTTTGGTAACTACAGCTCAGTACAGGTCCTATTCAGATTCAGAAATCAGATCCTCTAATATGATGCCAAAGTTAGGTGGATTTCTTTGGAGTTGAGACATCAAAGACATTCTGAATTATTGTGAAGCAACAAATGATACCAGGGATGCAGTTGATTCCATCACAATTTCATCACAAGTCCATCACAAGTCCAGTCACAAGAAACAGTGGATGAACACTTGTGAGTTGAATTGGGACTGGAGGACTTGTGATGGACTTGCAGGGACTTCACGGGACTTGTGATTGACTCGACTGCACCCCTGAATGATGCTGTAGCCAGAGTCTAAGCTGAGAATTGAAACCTCAAGACTCAATTCAAACTAGATCTGTTCCTTTTTTATCCTGTTACTTTGTTCTGTTGGGTTTTAAAAACTGTCACGAAAGCTCAGGCACTTTACCTGTATTTACCAAATATGTTGTCATTACAAATGAAATTGTTTTCGTCTTTCTTTCAAGGTTACTTGTGGGAATTTCGAATGTCAATGCAGGTGTAGATTACAAAATCTTGGATCTTTATTAGGATAACAATCTGTGGGTAGAATTTAGGTTGTTTTAGTCAAAAAATATTTCTTGGTTTGTGGAGTGTCTCCACCTACCGGTAGAAAGTTAATGTTTTATAAAAATTGTTCTCACTTCTTATGCAAATTTAGTTTGAGTTTGTGGCAGACCTCTTCCGCGAGAAGAAAATGGCTCATGAAATACAGAGAAAGACTGTGGTGAAGTCCGGCAGCGGTCCCGCTGTCAAGGGCCAGAAATCCTTCAAGTCGTCCGTCGGTAGCCAGGTGAGATTACTCTCATTGTCTCCGCGCATGACCAGTAGCTGGCGCTTTGGCAACACTCGTGAGAGCTCAAGTGGGAGACCACACACCGTGTACGCGTACTGGTTTGTGCGCACAGAGCGCGAAGTATGCAATTTAATTCCGAATGTGCACAATCACATAGTGTCTTTGAGCTAGCGTCAGTCCCAATCAGCAGTGTGTTAAAATGTACATGTGCTGTACATTGTCCTAATTTCAGAGTGTTTACTCCATCGGTTGACTTTCATATCCTTACACTTTTCTCTGTGTTTCAAGAAGGGATTCTTGAGGCACATTATCTGCAAGTCTCATAAGTTCACGCATTTACACCCAGCAGACCATGATGAAGGATTAAAATTGTCGCTTGACAACCTTAATACATGAGCGACCTTCACATTACAGTTATGCGGTATTAACCCATGAGTCATGTTACTGCCCAAAACCACCCTGCCAAGCGCTCCGAAAACGCCCTGCCCAGTGCATCGAAACTGCCCTGCCTAGCTCATCAGAACCCCCCTGCTTAGCGCATCAAAACCGCCTAAGCACTCCATGGCTTTATGGATTCAGTCAGCGAATAAACACAATGTTATACAATGTAGTACACGTGCTATATAAGTTAATTGTATTTTCCTGAAATTATAATCAATCTGGATTGAGTGTGTGATACAAGTTTGTCTGTTGCCTGACCCATTGTTCTTGGTGTTTTGCAGTTCCGGGAGTCGCTCAAATATCTCATGCTGAAACTGAACTCGACCACTCCCCACTACGTCCGCTGCATCAAACCCAACGACACCAAGACAGCATTCGAGTAAGTTGAACAAAAGTTTTGAGAAAGGAAATTTTATATTTTCCATTTTGAAACAAAAACAAAAAAAACTGTGTAAACCTTTGTATCTCTTCAGCTGTAACAATACATTTTCCCCCTGTTTCTTACTTGCAGGTTTGAACCCAAGAGGGCAGTAGAGCAGTTGAGAGCTTGTGGTGTTCTGGAGACCATTAGAATCAGTGCAGCCGGCTACCCATCACGGTAAGGGCTCATTACTGGTCCAAAATTTGTTCCAAAAATTTAAACTGGTGTATATTTTTTGAAAATCAGAAAAGTCTTCCCTAGGCAAAGTTTATTTTGTGTGTTATTGGTCAATTAAACAACTGAAAACGTTGAGTATTAAAACAAAGTAAATTGTACAAAAGGCGGACAGACAAACATGAAAAAAACGTACAAAATCAAATTATTTTCCTACCTTCCTACCTGGTTAGGGAGTTAGGGAGTTACCGTAAACATACATGGTTTTTCTCGGCCTAAACAGTATAGGAAGCTTTTTAAAAAGCACTGCATGAACAGCATATTATCTTTATTACTTTTCTCTTTTCACCCAGGTGGACCTATGCCGAGTTCTTCACTCGCTACAGGGCGTTGATGAAACCCAAAGAAGCCAACCGGAAAGATGTGCGGGGAACCTGTGAGAAGACGCTACAGAGATTGATACCTGTAAGTAATGGTTCTCTGCAGATGGTTACCAGTTTCAGAGTGTGGGTAATCAAAGTTTTGCCTTTGGCCATTTTGTCATTGCAAAAGCCGTATGCATAACTTCAGACTGCTTTGTCCAAAGAACTATTACAAGGAAACCATGCCAACATAAGTTGGCCCCACAGAATACGCTGAGAAGGCTTACTTCCTCGACAACGGTTCACACGCATTCTATAACGACAAATTCCATGTAGATGTACGTTTAGCACACTTGATCACGGACCACAATTTTATATTCCATTTTTATAGAACAGTTTCACAAATTTGTACAAAATGGTTCACTGCCTTTCATCAGATTGTCACAACATCAGTTACAACCACAGTGGTGCTTATTTTTGGCTTATTCACTGGGCCGTTGCAGTGCATGCGAACCGGTAATCGTGGTTGTGCCGAGATGACCTTTGAGTGACGTCATGACTACTCCAGAAAATAAGTTGAAGATGCCAAACCATGTTTGAAGTTTATACCAGTCCTTAAGAATGTCTACGCCCTAAGTGATATTAAAGTCCACAGCAGATATTGTGGTTCAGTTAATCTCTTGAAACACTTTAAATTGTGCTAAAATTTCTGATGATTGTTGACACGGAAGCAAGCTATCCAGACTTTCAAAACCTTTTTTTTTTTTGGCAATAATTCGTAAATTCCAAAATGTCCTCTCACAATTAGCAACAGTTACCGTCCTGTTGCAGTTTAAAATAGGCGACTGTTCTAATTTTAGTCAACATTTTTTAACTGATCCTCGGTCGCTGTCCATCATCATCATTCCGTCAACACCTACCACTCCCTTGTCAAATTATTATCGTTACTAACCATGAAAACAATTTTTTTTTACAGAGTTTGTGGTTTTTGTAATCTGCAGCCTTCTGTCAGAGCAGGCATTAGGTCTGTGTGATACCGAACGAACTTTCTTTCTAAAATTATCGCTGCCTCGCTCGTGGAAAGCCTGACCCGAGATAAACTTAATCCTTGTTTTCCTTTGTGGCCAGAAATATATCAGTGTTAATTAGAAGGATATGTGGGCTTAGCGTTTTGCTTAGTGCATTTTCTGAAGCGCTAGTTCTTGAATGGGTTTTTTGGTGTGTTTTGTGTTGAAAGTGTTTTTATATTGAATTTGGTCGAGTAAAGAACATTTTTCTTGCACAGTTTTCTGTATGTGTGTTTTACTCTTTCTTAAAAATATTTTTCAACAGAATTTCATTATTTGTCAAAGTAGCATGAGATTTTTTTCCTTCATCTTCCGTAGTCGTTGTATACAAGAGAATATCATAGGATTTATTTCCATTAAAAGATTTGCCATTTTTGCTGGTCCGAGAGGGCCATCCTTGTGTCCTCATTGAACATACATGTATCTCACTGAACTTGACTGCCACTTGTGAAGAGCGCTGGGCAGTGCTATTGTATAGGATTACCCCATAATGCCACCGAATGGTCTAAATCCGGCCCATTGTGAAGACGAGATGCATGAAAGACTCTCAGTGAATAGCCATTCTGAATCAATTGAATAGAAATGTGTGCACTCTGGGACCAGCGTTACTAGGTTTTCCTTATCTTGTTATCGACAGAAGTGCTTTTGGATATTTTCAAAGATCTGATATCCTCATTATGAAAAATCCAGATACATTGCTCCGATTCATTTTGTTTTATTTTAAGAGACACATAATTGAGAATATACAAACATTGCTTCAATTTTTTTTCTGGTTCAAGAGGGTTGGCCAAGTGTCCTTTTTGTACTACTGATCTGACTGACTGACTGACTGACTCCCCGTCATGTGACTTAGATTGTCTATAGACTGGTGATGAGTGTCGGGCAGTGCTTTCATATAGGATCACCTTTAATGCCAAAGTGAACCCACTCTGTAAAGTTTTTACAGGCAAACTTTAATTGTGAAATGCCTTGACTCTTACAATCTCATTTTAACACTATCCTTGCCAGGCCCCTGACAAATACCAGTTTGGCAAGACCAAGATCTTCTTCCGAGCGGGCCAGGTGGCCTACATGGAGAAGCTACGGGCAGACAAGCTGAGAGCAGCCTGCGTCTTGATGCAGAAGACAGTGCGTGGCTGGGTGCAGAAGAAGAAGTACACGCGGCTACGATTGTCCACCATCATCATGCAGAGGATGGTACGAGGATTCCTGGCAAGGAGGTGAGTTGGAGGACGGCAAATTTATGATTATTTTTTCAGTCGATTGCTCGATCCCTTAAAATGTTCAATGAACCGAATTGCTGATTTTTTTTTACAGTGCAATGGCTGGTCCAGATTCTGTATCCGAATGAGAGATTTTAAGGTTTGGTTCAGATTAGCGAATTTGTCCCTGTAAAACCTAAACCATCCCAGTGTCTGTTAACTCCCTTGACCGCCACAAAATACACAAGTATGCTATGGGTTCATGGATTCTTCAGTGTATAAATACAGTGTTAACACAGTATAGTATAGGTGCTGATGGGTTAAATTGGTACCCAAAGCCTAGAAACTGAGGGTGGTAGTCCAGGCTGATGCTATAGCGCCCTCATGTGATGATAACTATGAGTTTCCAGCCACTCACGAAGTTAGGAAAAACCTTGTAAATTATTTTCCATTTTTCCAGTCAGGGAAAACTTAGGAAATTTGGAGGGGAGGGGAACAACAATTAGGAAACTCAGGGAATTAGACAAAAAACGGAAATAATTTAAAATTATCATATGCACAGGCTACCACTCTGTTGCATATGGTGAGGAAAGGATGGCTGTAAGGGGAAAACGTAGTGGGGAAAACATAAGGGAACATTTCTCATGGAAATATCAAGGGAAAACTCAGGGATCTTCTTGGGCATCTCTGGTATAGCATATTTGTTTATTTTAATTTTGTTGGGAGATTTTTTGCCTCGTCAGTTTTTTGCCGTGTCAGATTTTGGCCTTGACCGTTGGATCTGTACGAGATGGAACTTTTTAATTTTCTTTGTAATAGAGCCTTCCCACGTCACAACACCTGTTTGGAATTATTTCACTCGGAGCGCAACTTTTGTGATGAATTTCATCGCTACCTGAATGACGTCACTTACACAGCTTCCTATCCACATGACCTTTTATTTCATCTGGGGCTGCCATTTCCAACCATATTCTGGCATTAAGCCAATTTGCAAATTAGTCACCGGTATAGACTTTTTCCCTATCGGCACAGAATACTGGACACTTTCCTGTTACAATCATCACGCCCTACAAAAAGGCGAATTACCGTACAACTGAGTGGAGCTCACTAGAGCTCCACGTTGAGCCTGGGTGTTCAGTCACGAATGCTTTTGGACTGTTTTACGTCTTCTTTTTCTATCGTCCTCTCGTGGAGTGTTGACAGCGATTTTAATCGTACAATGTTCGGAAGGATAGTACTTCCGTTTTGTAAAGATGGAGGATATAGATGAACAGTCGTCTTTCTTGGCTCAAATTGACAGGCTGACCAGGCACATGCGCCGCACCAACGCCGCCACCTATCTGCAGAAGCGATGGCGGGGTTACAGCCAGCGACAGAAGTACCTGCACGTCCGGCACGCCATCGTCACCATCCAGGCGTTCAGCCGAGGGATGTACGGGCGGCGGTACTACACCAAGGTCCTGCGCAGGGCCCGGGCTACCACCATGCAGAAGACGGTGCGTGGGTGGCTGGCTAGGAGACGGTACCAGAAAGCACGGAAGGCGATCATCCTGCTCCAGTGCTGCACTCGGAGGATGTACGCCAAGAGGGAACTCAAGAAACTCAAGGTGAGAAGGGAAAGGTTTAAAACAATAAAATGATGTATGAAATTATAAAATTATGGCGGGTAGATTTGCTAAGAGTATAACATTGAGAATTATACTGTGTTGTTTGCCTCTCTTTTAAATTTTGACAACAAATAAATCTTGACCTTTTATCAGACCTAGTTGACCTGCAGGTACACTTGACTCAACCCAACATGTAGGTCAAACTTAGCATTACCTTGGGTAGGCCTCAATCTGACGTTAGGTAAGACTTTGCTGGCCTCAGATCAGACTTGACTTTACCTAAGGGCACATTTAGCAAGTCCCTTGATTAAGACCAGACAGGACTTATCATACTTGACCTCAGGTTGTACTGAACTTGACCTAAACGTTTACTGTACAAGTTGACAAAGTTCAAGACTGAACTTGAACAGCATGTTGTTCAAACTCAAGATGGTAACCCATATCACACCTGAAAGTTATTAAATTCTTAAGATTGACATCAATACATTTGTCATGTTAATTGTAACGCCACACACAGCAATCGCCATTTGGTCTTTATGTTCTAACAAATTTGGACGGCAATGCATGCTGGTCTTTTCCCCCATATGTGGGAAAATATAAAGTGAATAATAATAGTCTTTAAATGTCAAGAAAATAAAATGCAGATACAACAAAATATTGGAAACAACCTTTTGTTATAACTTACCCATTATTAACAGTTTTTTTCCCACCATTTATTTATTCTGCACCTCTTACTGATATTTACTTCTTAGACCTTGTGCTAAAATTAACCTGTGAATGATATAAATACATGTATGTACCGGGGTAAAACAAGGTTAGATACTAAGAGAAAAAAATTAGCCTTGAGGTCCCTGGAATGGATCAAGTCGTCACACAGAGATTGAACCCCACACACTTCCCCCTCTCCCTCTTCCCCCCCCCCCCCTTCCTCCCCAAACCCCTACTCTCAGGAAATCCTTGACTTTGCTACCCTCGGCACAGGGTGATGACACTTGCTTCAGTCAGTCCTTGTAGGGAAAATTTGTGAAGAATTTGCCTCAAGGAATGTCATTTAATTACGCGAGTTGCTTCGTCGGGTTTGCTACCGAATTTATGTGCTGGTCCCAGAGGGCCGGCTAAGTGTCCTCACCTGACTGGCTGTCACTTGTGAGCTGGGCAGTGCTGTTGTATAGGATTACCCTGTTACGGCAATGAATGGTCCATATTCAGCCCATTGTGTACTCCACATGCATGAAAAGACTTATGAAAAGCCATTTTGATTCAACTGTATAGAGTACCGAAGTGTGATATCAGCTGCATTTGTTATGGTTCACGCACAGGTTCGCTTGCTGATGTCTTCCCACACTTAAGCTATGCGCTTGAACCAGAACACGTGGCACACTGCGGTACTCTGTAGATTTGTGTGCACTCTGGGACTGTCTTTACTAGGCCTGCCATGTCTTGTTTCTTTGTTCAGGCCTGTTTGATTCTCCCCAAATTAAAACAAAACTTATTGCTAAAAAGAAACTCATTGACATTGAGTCTCCCGTGAGAACTTTCTTGAGATTTGTTGAAATAATCCTTCCAATTTAGCAGCTGAACGGCATGACTTTGCAGAAATTGTTAAGTCTGTGATTCTTGTCATAATTACATACCGTGTCGAGATAAATTCGCTGACAAGCATTTTATATCATTAATCTGAACTTGACTGGTCAAATCAAGTCAGAATTTTTGAATCTTTCAGAAGTTCTCATTTTGTTTTAATGTTATTGCCTCATTCACAATTCATTCCCTGCAACACTCATACATTAAACACATAACATGGCTCCCCCTTCCCCCTCCCCCTTCCCCCTACCCAGGGGAGGGGTGACTCAAGTCCGTCACTCTCTGCATCCATGTTGCTGACTCCTTGCTTGAAGTCCCCTGTTCCTACCTTTCTTCCTTGTCTCCTAGTTTTGATTTCCTCTTCTATAAAAATTTTCAGCGGCTATATTTCAGAATGTCATCGGGCTGTCTGGTTGCTTGTGTAAACCCCTATGTGAGTCCTGCTTGCAGAGCTAGATGCATGAAATGCACCCGGCATGATATGAAATTGTTTTTCTTTTTTTTTGGGGGGGGGGGGATGTTATGTCTTCATAGAGGGCAAACTTTTGGAAAATGATCATTACAGATTTCAATTTTTTTTGGGGGGGGGGGGACTTATATGCTACATGTATGTCTTTATAGAGGGGTAATATTATGATAATGATAATTACAACATTTTAGATGTACTTGGAAAATCTGGAATTTATATAACTCTTTCAACTTTCACCAACTTTTTGATGCATAAATATCATGAACACATTACAATCTATTGGATGATTTAATACAAAAAAGCATGTAAAACGACTTAAGTGTAATAAGTTTAAACTTGTTTATTGTTCACTTTGATGTAACATCAACGGGTGTTTTTTTCTGACTGGAAAGTCCTGAAGAGCAGAAAGTTCTTGTCATAAAATTAACTTCAGTGCATGATTTTAAAAAGATGCATTTTCAATTCATTTGATGCAGTTTTTATAGCATGTGTTTTCAAAAAAAATAATCAGATTTTGCCTCATTGAAATTTGTTTTGCATGCTTGATGTAATTACTGGAAAATTTAAACCAAAAATGCAAAATGTAACTTAATGAAAAGAAGTCCAATGTCGCTGAACAGGTTTGTAGCTTTTTGGATTCGTTATTTGAGCCTATTTTTAGGATCAGAATTATGACGGGACAGTCAGAAGACACACCCACCGTTATGAAAATCCCGCATAATTTGCTTGTGTCAAACATCGCAACTCGCATTTTTTTGTCAAACGTCAATGAAACCAGCTAATGCTTGAGTCAGAATTTTTTCCCAGGGTCTCTGCTTAAACTTTCCTGCATGCCCTGATTCAGTGCTTCCTGTAAAAAAAAAAAAAGGCAAGAGACATTACTTCCCTTCCAGAAAGAAATGGCAGGCAGACTCTATTTTTGACAGATTTGTCTCACTTTTTTTTGCTTTGTTTTTCTGTTGTTTTCCAGATCGAAGCCCGTTCGGTTGAGCATTTGAAGAAACTCCAGAAGGGCATGGAGAATAAGGTTATCTCCTTGCAGCAGAAAGTGAACGAATTGGTAAGTTCTCCCTACTTCGTGTCCAACTTTTTGTTTAAACTTTTTTGTAAGCTGTGCATGATCACTGTGGGGAAAGTTCCCCGTGACAGCATGGCGGTAAGCTAGACTGCCGGTTACCGATAATGGAAAGCCTAAAAGACAGTGGAGTCATGGGCTGACTGGTACTCATCTCCGTAAGACTTTTTCATAACGTTTAACATGAAATGCAAGAAATGTTATTGTTTCTGTGTAAAGCTTTAACGATCATCGACACCTTCATTGAACAGGTAAGTACAGATGTTACTCACTTGTACATTAGAGTACATTATTCTCCCTTAGCTAACCCTGACTGCCCTGAATCCTTCAAAATTCTCTTTGCCAAAGTGGAGGAATTTGTAGGATTGAGGTTACATGGCAAAAGTGTGTTACTGATCTCGTGGGATGCACTTTGTCAAGGTCTTGGGCCGGACCTTGTGTTGTTTTTGCTCAGCCATGCATAAATATAGGCCTGGATTATGCTTGAAATCCTCCGTACTGCTCTAGGATGTCACTGGCCAAGCCTCAACATATTGACAGTCACCGCCGCAGGATTCAGGCAGTGGCCACCCCTCCATGGACCATGTTCAAGAAACAATGGAGGAATTTGCAGGATTGAGGCTATATGCCATTTTTCCATGAGGCCAATTGGAGGATTTTGCACGATTGAGGCTACATCCTAGCAGCAAGGCCTAGGGAGTTAGGGATGGGAGATAAACATCGTAAATAGATAAACTTTGATTTTTGTATTTGTCAGTTTATCTTGCTTGGCATGGGATATCTGTCATTTAGTTGTTGTTTTTTTACTTAAATTGATCAGCCCAATCTGTATGTAAAGATAAAAATATAATAAATTTAGTCAGAAGGAATGCTTTGCATGAAGGTGTGCAAAATTTGCAGATAGCTACAGACAGTTGCGCTGAGCAGAGTTGTTTCGTCCAAGATCAACTTCAATTTTGGATGGTCATCTACTTGTGTAGTCACTGTTTTACCCAAACTCCCTTAATAGAACAGAGTCAAACACAAATGAGACCAAGTAAGCTACTTCAAAACATAGGTGTGTGGTAAGCTACTTCAAAACATAGGTGTGTGGTCAGCTATAACCCTGAATCAAGCTAGCCCTTTAACGATGTGACAAACTCAACACCAGATTCTGAACGATGTCATCTTCATCGTTACTACACCGTATAATTGTTTGGATGAGACATTTTTACATTTTACACTTTGTTGTTAAAACTCTGGGCTAAATTTTAGGATACAGGTTTTCACATAATTTTCTCCCTAATGACCGCTTGTCCATTGCAAAGAGAACACGAGGAGTAGTAAGTTCCGGAATTACCCTGCTCACATCAGAGTCATAATTTGCTTAAAATAATGATGATGCTAATTTCAAACACATGCACAAGCAGGTCTTACTTTTAAAGTTTCGTTAAGATTAGCAGAATTTTTCTGCTATAGTTGCCACAGTCTGTTAGCAAACCATCAAGCGTTGCCGTGAAATTGGCCCCAAGAAAACATAACAGACATAGTGTCTGGAAAGATTCCCCCTGGCTATCATCTTCTTTTATTGACCCATGACTTCACCTTGACTTGTACCTTGCTGGGTGGGCAGTTTGTACAGGGATATCCCAACTATCCTCTGCAACACCACAGGTAAAGCCGTTGACATATTACTTAATTAATCATGACCGCCCAGAAGAAGAGAAACTCTCAACCAAACATGGCCGAAGCATCTGCGAGTTCAGGCTGTCTCAACTGCTGTCGTGAATCAGTAGTCAAGGAACAAACTCAGTGACCAAAACCCCCTGGAAACCGGAAGCTAAACCAATCATCACCAAAGTGTCTTTGAGTCCAGACTTAAAGCAGTTGCTGACCCTCAGTAAAAACTTCCAAACCCTGTAAGACACCCAGGCTGCAATAAATGGCAACCATATTATGCTGGGACTGAGCCTTCCAACCCTCGGGACCTGACCTCCAACCCTCGGGACTTGACCGATCCTGTGCCTTTTTCCCCAGTATCGGTTTCCTCGGTCTGTTTATTGTTACAGGAAGTGACGGAAGTAAGGTTGAACTTTTACCTTCAAACTCAAAAGGTTCTCCACATTCGGACTTAGGCGTCAGTTTGTCTGTGACATTGCAGAGCATGTTTCCTGTTGTGGTTTGACGCTTGGTTACTAATTCCGCAGGTATATTTTAACATTGAGGCCCACTAGGGAAATGTAAAGAGGCTGTTTCCAGAATGATATTGACGCCATTGTTTGACCTTTCAGAATCCTGCCTTCTCATAGTTTCCCAAAGTCAGTTTCGACAGCCGGTATGTAGTTAAACACAATTTAAAATACATAAAAACAAAAAAAGTGTACATGTAGATTAGAAACAGCTTTAATACTGTGTGCATGTTTGTTCTATAAATTTTCTTAACCCTGCAACTTTTTCACCCTTATTTAATTGGAAATATCACATTTTGAAACTACACTCTTTATAGTTACATGTATCTTAAAGGGTTCCATGTAGGTGATGGGTGGTTGTCTTTGAGGCCAGGCTCTGAAACCCCCCCCCCCCCCAACAATAAAACTCCAATAAACAACCTAACCAAAAAAGATTCAAATTAATTGCATACAACAGTGTGGCTCAGACGATCCTTTTCCCTAGGGAGCAGGACAGCCTTTCCATATGCAGATTAAAGGTAAATTTTGATGAACAATTTCCTCTTGTAATTAACTTCAAAACTTTCAGTGACAGATACACGTACTCAAATGTTGATGGCTTCGTTATTTGGGTGCAAGATAGTGCAATTAGTGCAAAAGTCTGGACTTTAAAAAAAAAAAATTGTATTATGTGCCAGAACTTATTTAATTTTCCAGATCTTTTGTTCTTCTCAATTCAGAAGTTTTTTTTCAAACATTGTGTGTCTTCCCTTTCATTCCTAGTAGCATTTCATCTGACATTCTTCAAAGTTTTTTTTTTTGCCGAAGAGCCAGTAAAATTGTAGTCATCCATGAACTGAAAATTAATTTGACAAGTCATCAACTCTGCCAGACAGCAAAATTATTTAGAAGTCCTTATAATAGTTATGTATTACCCCCCCTAGCCACACCCCTTTTGGAAATCTTTTGTTGAATCTGTTGTCAAAATTCATCAACTGCTTACAAGATTATTAATACAAGAGTTGTGTTTACTGTAGGACTTTACGTGTTACATGTTTATAAACAAAATTGACTTTGAAAGAATGAATCAGGTGGGTCCTCTTACACCCCAAGTTAAACCCTATCTCAACCACCACCCCTTCCCTAGTATTAAATCAAGCTCCCTTCATATCTGGAGCCCGTTTATAAAAAAGAACAACCGATGGCAAGTATCAGACGTGGCCGTGATGCCCGGACTAAGCACCTCCATTTCTCCACGTAATCTAACCATGAGTGAATTAGTCACCTCATTTCCTGGCCCGGGATAAGAATGATCACGAGTGTGGAGAGAGAGTCTCTCTGGGCCGAGCCCGACCTATGGAACCGAAACTATCGAAGACCTTAATGCCATACGCTCCATATTAAAGCTTTCAGCAGACAATGATGAGGAAAAAAGAGATCCAGGGAGTTGACGCACTAAGTGAAGACGATGAGTGTTTGGTTTTCAATATTCTCAGAGCTTGGATTACTTGTAGAGTGACGAACTGTTGCGATGAGTTTATCCAGAGGTCATCTTGTCTGTCGGACAATGACGACATCGTGAAACTTTAAGGAGACGTTAGTTCCTCCCAAGAGGTGCGATTCGGGGGTAATACGGTAACTTTCAGCACGCCTTTTGTTGTGTGAGAACAACGATAAGATGCCGCCTGTAATGCAAGCCATACTGAGACTGCCAACACGTTCTTAGAGATTCGTGCTAGCGGAGTTCATCGGAGAATGGGGATAGTTCTTTGACACACTTCCCTATCTTGAGCTGTCTACATCCTTTAGATTCTTAGAAGAAGCTATCAACTGAAGGTGGATTTAACAAAGGAGATACTGGTATGCTGCTGGAATTAATGGATGGATGTAGTTTTACAACCGTGAACAACACAATCTGCATAAATTCCTCTGGGTGTTTTGTGTTAAGATCAACATTTGAAGGAGTGGAGAAACTGTGCCCTTTAACCAGGACCTCTCTTCCAGGAATTTTGTGAGTTTGAAACCAAAACATTTCGGGCACTGCACCGAACGGAAAGAAAAACTTTGCTGAAACACATTTGCTTGGACACGTGTGGTTTCTGTTGCTGCGATGACAAATAAAATGTTATCGCAGTGAAAACTTCCTCATATCAGTTTCGTAGCCAGCAAAGACAATAGAGAATGTTGTTGCAATCCTGTGACCTGAATTCTGTTCTGCTTTAGTTCTGATCAAAATCACAATTCATAAAGTGATTCTCTACCAGAATCTTGACATTGTATACCTTGATTCTTTTGGAAGTGAGTGAAGACACTTCGCGAGCTTCATTTCAAATTAATGGACTTTGTGTCAACCTTAGTAACAATCGAAGGCCTTGTCTTTTACCAGCACAACCGCAAAGTGAAAGTCGGTGTTCTAGTGTCAGCACATCAGTCCTGTTCCAGTCTTGTCCCTAGGCAAACTTGTTGTCACAGATTAACATTGAGATCGTCTACAGAAGCCAGACGACGTATTGATCATTGACTCCATTTCCAACGAGCTTGAGAAAGTAACACTGTTCTTCTGCAACTTCACCTCTACACCTACATACACAATTTTTATGCACTTGAAGTGTAGAACTGAAAGTCAGCCGAAGATTGGAAATGTTGCTCCCAACATGTGAAATTTCTGTTTAACACCACACTGGATTTATATTAATCCTCCTTGGACTCTTCAAAACCTTCACTTGTGCACCCTTCTAACATCGAATGAAACCGTTTGTTCATATGTACATTGAGTGTTTTCTTGATGAGCGACTTCTTGAGGAGTGAAGATCTTCCAATTCTGTCAGAGCTTGTGGATTTTTACTGACTTTCTTAACGGTTGTTTATCATGAGTCGTTTCAAGTACTCTCGGTATTCGGGTCTCCGGGGTGACCCGGTCAAACTAAGAGTGCTCTTCTTTGAGGTAAGACTAATTTTTTTTTTTTTTTTTTTAAAGTACAACATTCTTATCAGTTTGCTGTTCTTGTTTATAGAGAGTCCGTCAATCTAGTGTCTTCTGGATATTACTTCAGTCTCATACTAGTTTTTTTTTCTGATCTTTTCCGTCTGCTTTGTCCATTATCCTTTTTCTGAGAAATGAAATAAAAATATGAGTGTTTTTAATATTGCGACTTGCCCTTGATTTGCTTTATTCTTTTTAGCATTGTATACCGAGTACGTTTGACAGCTTGCAAAAAAAGTTCCAAGCTTGCCAAGCTTGCTTGGGTGGGGCTAGAACCCAGGACCTTCCACTTACTAGTGCAGATGGCGAACCACCGAACCACCATGCCGAGTCAGCTGGCTTGTTCAAAAATGATACAGTGACATGAACCATATATATTTATTTATAGTAGCCCATATATTTTTCCTCCCAATCTTTCTGTCTGAAATAAAAAAACCAAAATTAAACAGTTTTATTTCATTTTATTTTCCGTTTTTTTTTGTAGACCAAAGAGAAAAAGGAGAGAGACGACCAAGAAACCACGATTGAGAAGCTGCGCAGCCAGGTCAAGTCCATGGAGCACACCCAGGCAGAGTCGGTCTCTCTGGCCAAGAGGGTCGCCGAGCTGGAGCAGGAGAATGCCAGGCTACGCCAGGAGCTGGAGCAGACCGTCTTGGAGAAGAACGCACTCAATGAGGAGATGGGACGGGTCCTGCAGGAACACAAAGAGGTGAGTCTAGGGTGCCGAGTGAGTTAGTTTGGGTTTTTTTGCGGAGGAAAGTTTTATTGCTAGCGGGAGAGGCCTTTTTTGAAGTGCGGTTACAGGAAATACCAGTACATTGTAAGTCAGTGCGTAAAAACTGTGCATTACCGGCATTTGTAACAATGAACTGATGAATAACTGTAAGATGCCAACTTGAAGGATGTCAACCATGACGTCAAAAAGAAGCATCTTTCAGGCACAATGCTTGGTGGCGCGCCTTGTTGTGAATCGTTTGTATTGCAAGTCTTGCCTGACTGATATTGGATCACTGATCAAGTTGTGGTATACCAAATCCTGTTTGGAATACAGCTTGGGTACCGGTGAATTTTCAGCCACCAATTCAAGGCAGCATATTGGTCATCTGTCGTGTTTTATCAAGAAAGCTAATTCCATCTGTCATATCACTTTGACAAACATACGGTAGTTGCTAAAATGTCTCAGAAAGGAGTAAATCTTCAAATCCATTCATCCAATCAAAACTTCAGACCAGACATTTGTTCCATTTCTTTTAAGGGAAAAAAGCTGCACAAATTGAACTTTAAAAGCATTTTATTATAACGCAATCTTTTTTGCGATTATCCAGACATATTTTTATTTGCATGTATGTCATTTCCCATTGTAAGTGTAGTGTTTTTTTGGTTATTAGCTCTTTCACAGATTTAGCTCACTAATGTCAATTCCTTTCATATCTTTGCAGAATCATTCTTATCATTTGCACAATCGATACAAATTCATTGTTCAAAAATTGCTCGTTGGCTCTTTCAAATAGAAAAGACTGTAGTGAAAAGCTGTGTGTCTGTGACATATTTGTTAATATTTATTTTTTTAGTCTGGAAATTTGAAATTGTTTTTCAACATTTTTTTTATAGTTACAGCTTGCAAATGTGCAAAATGACAGCAGAGTTCAGGGACATTTTAAGCTGTTGGTCTTACAAAACCAGCTTATCTACATTATAAGATTATCCAAAATTACCCTAATGTCTGAAGTAAAACCTAAAAAAAAAAAAGAGTTCACCTTTATAAAACTGCATGTCACGATGTCAGTGAGATTTGTCTAAGGTTAAACGTTACGGGGAGTGGATATGATTCATGTGCCCTGTTATCTACTGACTGATCTCGTGTCCCAGGGGGTTCCATGTGGTTAGAAGCACTGCCTATAAAATGATCAAGGTTTCATATAATTTAACATGTTGATAGACCATAAGCACACATTTTTTTAAGGGGGGGGGGGGGGGGATGGGGACTAGGCATTTTTTTGGGGGGGGGGGGGGTTGATATCACAAGTAGACACAATGTGATGTCAGATTTTAAACCCCTAAAAATGAATGTCATTTTCCCACTGTCTTTGGTTTCTTGTTTAATAAGCCATGTTGCCGTGCTCTTAGCTTTCCACTAGTGATTCTAGAACTGCAAGATTTTGCCTGCGTACCTCTCTCGTGCCATATTTCTATCTGGCTTGTTGAGACTGCTGTGGAGATGTTTCTTGCTACTGTTGATGCAATACAACCCTCATAAACCCACCCTATCTCAACCTACCCTTACTCCACCCAGTTCAACCCAAACAATCCCTCTTGGCCACTTGATTCAGAACCAATCTATCCCAGCCAAACCCTTGCCAATCTAGCCAAACCAACTAACTTAATTCGAACCATCATCACTATCTTCCTACTCTGTAAATTCCTTCTTTTTTTCCCCTTTTTTTTTAGCTTCATATTCTTTCCCTTCTCTGTGTATCCTTCACCTCATGTGGGTGTTTGTGGGGGACTGGGATGGGCAAAATCGATACAAAAAGAGAATACAAATAATAATTATTAAACCCCGACCCCAACTACATGTAAGTGCCCTCATCTCACAGCTTTGCACCCAACACAGCCTAGCCCAGCCAACCCAACCCGACCCATCCCAGTTCTACTCAATCCAACCCAGCCTAGCCCAACTTAACACAACACAACCCAACTCAAACCAGCCCAGCCTAGCCCAACTTAACACAACACAACCCAACTCAAACCAGCCCAGTTCTACCCAACCCATCACAGCACATCACAACCCGACACAACCCAGCCCAACACAACCAAGCCCAACACAACCAAGCCCAACACGACCCAACCCAACCCGACCCAACCCGACCCAACCCAGCCTAACCCAGCCCAACCTAGCCCAGCCCAGCCCAACCAAATACAACCCAACCCAAGACAACCCAACTCAACCCTTCCCATCCCAGTCCAACCCAACCAAACTCAACCCATCCCAACCAACTTACCAACCCATGTCTAAACCAATTCAAACCTACATAACCAAGCACAGCCCAGTCAAGCCCATCCAAACCCACCTCATCCCAACTCAGCCCAACCCCACCCAACCCTAACTCAGTCTTATCCAAACTATTCAAATCAAAAGTATACCCAGCCCGCCCAACGGTCATGAACTTCAACCCAGTACCACCCTATACCAACTATGCACTCTCAATGCTTTGTACCCAGCACAACCCAACTCAACCCATTGCAGTACCTTCTAAACCCATTACTGACCCAACACTTTCCCATTGCCTTGATGATGGGCCACTAACCCACTTGATGTTTGTTGATTCTTCTCTGGCAGGCTGTCAAACAATTTCTCAAGGTAAATATACCCTTTGCATGATAAACAAGAAAGGGGGAAAAAAAAAAAGTCATGCAATAATTGCATCATGGAGCTTCACGGTTGAAGTTTGTGGCTTCATCCTAAGAGTTTGTCCAGGCAACAATTTAGTTTCCTTTTTTTTTAAAAAGAGACATCTAGCTCACAAGCTTGTATTGCAAACTTTGCTGCTTCCGATTTATTTCAGAATGGGCTGTCTTGATGCTTATCATCATCATTGCTTATCATTTTTTTGGAATGGTTGACTTGAAGATGATTGCTGTCACATGTGGTTGGCATTGCTTTCTAAATTTGCTTCACGTTAAGATCAGTTCATCATCTTAATTGGCTGCTCTTGCGAAGCTATGATTGCCTGAGGAATGAGAATTTTGGTCAAAATACGAGTTTTAAACACAGTTGTGTCAAAGGATTGGACATGGATATGGAAGGGGGGGGGTCAGCTGGTCAGCCAATTGACCACGGACTGATTCAGAGTGTGTCAGAACCAGACATGGCCCGCAGGGTAAAGCAGAGGGCATTGCAGTGATTACACCCCGAATTATGGAGACCCTAATTACCTCCTAATAGGTCGTCTGTAAATTGGTTAAGCCCACCAGGAAAGGGGCGGATTAATTGATTGATTGACTGTTGCATTGTGGGCCAGTAGTAGCCTTGTCCGTAAAGGGTTGTGCCAGGGTCAGAGGGTAGCTTCAGGCTTATTGAGATTATGTAGACAGTAACAAAAAAACGCAAGTGGGACTTCATGGGATTTTGATATCATCCCGGATATCAATTTCACATTCACATGTAAGCAAACTAAAGCTGAGTTTGATTTTGCACATCAAAACTTTTTTCATGGTAAGGAGGTTTCATAGGTTTGCCTACTTAGAGAATGCTGCTGAGCAATTTCACATTTGTGTCAAGCAATCTAAAGCTGAGAACTAGTTACACATCTGTCTGCGCTAACCGAAAATCTACTCATGTTAAGCAAGTTTGTGCGCTTGGCAAGTGTTTTAACTCAGGCCATGCTCATCATAACTCATGATTGGATCAGGGGTTTATGCTGGAACATTCACCCCTTGGAGCCCCTTTTGTTGAGCTCAACAAACATTGTTCTTTTAACCCTTTGGGGCACAGGGCAGTCGCTAGCTACCGTCCAAGAAACTTTTTTTATCTGTGCATCTAATCCGAGTAATTTACGCACCAAAGGGTTAAATGTGGATATTGAATTGAGCCCCATCATTCATGATACATGGGTAGGAAAGTATGCATTACGTCAAAGTTTGATACCTCACAGGGAAGATAATGTGAATTCAATTCTGTCAAGGAAGTGGCATCTGTTAGTTAAGTCGCTCACGACTTCCTTGAAAGCTGATCCCTATAATTGGGCAACTTGTATGTATTTCGTTGGAATATGAATTCAGTTGGGTAATGTTGAAAGTCACAGTGAAACTACAATCGTTGACGTCATGAAACATGCTTGCTTTCGATATTTGCAAGCTTTTGTAAGCAAGAAATGCTCCGGCTAGCACAGTGTCACTTCTGGTTGCGGAATTTCATTGTGTCTCACCAATAAGATTCCATCACTTTACACGAGGAGACAGTAAACTAGTTTACTCCTTCTTGCCATATATGATGCCTTATTCAAATCAGTTAAATGCAGATGACGGCAAATTGCAGATATGGCTTCATTTCTTATTTCTGGCTGGCCATATGTTTCATTTTTTTTGGCTGCTTTGCCTCTACTCTCCTATTTTTCATTTGGTAGCATGTTGGCATGGTTCATTTTTAAAGATTTTTGTTATATTTAATTGAAATTGTAATTTGGAGATTGAAAACATGTTAAACCCTATCTGAGTGGTTTGGGGAAATGAGATCACTGAAGTCATGCGACAGTTGTTTCTTGACAAATTTGTTTGACTTTGGTTTCTTGGATAACAGAGTTACATGTAATTGTATGCTTGATAAAAATCAGTATCTTGTTTTGTTCAATGACTAATACAGAAAATGAAATGTTAGTCTGAATGATAACACATTATCCAGGCCATGAACCTTCTCCTGTCTTCTGTAGCTCGATTCATGTGACAGTTTATGCATACTTAACTAAACCATCATTTACATACCCACAAAGTCTTACATAAAAGTTATATTGTATATCTAGTAAACAAAATAATGTGTGGTGCTTGTAGTGCTTTCAATTAAAGGTAGATGTGGGTCTCAAAGCACTTCACAATTATTACCCCGGTTCAACAGGCCATGAGACCACTTTTCTGCAGCCGAGATCAGTGCAATCTGGTCCCTATCCTTACAGATACCCATTTATACTCCTGGGTAAAGAGAGGCAATTGTAGTGAAGTGTCTTGCCCAAGAACACAAGCACCATGTTCTCCATTAGGGTTTGAGCCCACGTACCATGGCACCTGAGTCGAACACCGTAACCAATGGAACACATCACTCTAGTAGTAGCTCAGCCCTTGTATTTCTAGATGTTCTGATCGCCAATTTACACACAGCAGTTTTTAGCTTCCTTTCCTACCCCCTTGGGTACTTTGGGAGGGGAAGTCTCTCACACTCTCGTCCTGTCTGTGACTTTTCACCTTGTCCTTCTTCCTTCCCCTCGGAAATTTTGTTTCTGTCTGAGGAAATTTTACCCTAGATAAATGCTCCTTTTTTTAAACTCTGGCTCATTTTAGTGGGCTAGTGTCTAAATTTGCTGTGACTTTTGGGGCACTGGCTTTACATTCAGCACATGCACGGGACCATGGGGTAGTTGGGAAAGGAAGGGGTTGGTCGAGTTCACTTAGGGTAAAGTCTATGTATGGACTCTACGTATGCACAAAAGAGGGCGCCAAACTGTGCTGTGGTTGAGTCCATCACAACTCTTCCCAAGTCTGCACAAGTCTTCACAATGCCATCACTAGTCAATCACAAGTCCAACACAAGTCCATCATAAGTCATCCAGTCTCAAGTCTCATTCAGTCACAAGCTATTCGAGTGAATTGTTGACAAAGACATTTTTTTTGTTATTTTCATCCCCTCTTGCTTCATGTGAGCAGACTTTTGACCTGACGTGTGAATTAATTGCGACCGGAATTGTGATAGACTCTCAGGCACAGTGAAATGGTGTGAAGGACATTTAGCTGGTTCCCACACGCTGTTCACCATTTATAAATCCTACGGCTACCAGCATGCACAGAGCAACATAGCACGTAGTGGATTTTCTATGTTGTTTTCTTTTTCAAATTTCAGCTTTTTTGGGGGGCACAGAGCATCTTTCACTTTGAAATAAATTTAAATTCTTACAATAGATGATTAATTTCACCAGGGGTTCAATCAAAAACCTTGTTGTGGAGGATGTCGTAGTATGAAACACTCAAAACCCTATTTATATTTATTGCAATTGGGGACTGTTATTGCTCCATGTCAATAACCTTTCACCACTGCTTCTGAAACAAACTAAAACCACATTCCTCAAGTTTAGTTTCTGATTGGATTCAGTTTCCCTTTTTGTGATTCAAATAAAAAAAATAGTATATGTTTCTAGGAGAAATCCGATGTAAAGATCTTACTTGCTGTTTCTTAAGTAGACATCTTGGGTTTTTTTGTTTCCGTCTTACAGGAGAAAGACAAACAAGAAGCAGAGAGCGAGAAGCTGAGGAAAGACCTGCAGGAGAAAGAGAATCAGTACAAGGAATTGGAGGAAAGCTCGGAAGGTAAGAAAGGAGGCGGAGCTGGCATAAATAGAGGCGGAGCTCGCATAAATGGGGGCGGAGCTCGCATAAATAGGCCTATCTGTTAAGTCCGCCCTGTACTATTTTGGCCAATCAGAGCACTTACGAAGTGACCAAATGTCTGACAAAAGTTTGACACATGCATAACAAGCGGGGGCATATCAACAAAGGGAGGAGGTGGTTTCCCCCCCCCCCCTCCCACCTGCATAACTAAAAGAGGTGGGGGGGAAGGGAGGGGGTTAGCTGTGCATGATGATATGCTGAATGAGATCTCTGCACACAATCTTGTTATTTGACTTGTGATGGACTAAACTAACACTCTCTTATTTTTTTTTTTTTGCTCCTCCTTCCAGAGCGAGTCAAGAAGGAGGTGGAAGCCGCCCAGGAGGAGATCCTCAAGGAGCTGGCCGAGGAGAAAACCCGGCACCAGAAACTCCTCCAGGATTACTCCAGGATGGAGCAACGCTGCGACAACCTTAAGGAGGACCTCGAGGCCGCCCAGAACCCTCCCCAGCAGTTCATGCAGCACGTCAGGACGGACAGCAGCGAGGGCGGGGAGTCTGGCTACGGCACGCTGTCCACCACTCAGGTGGAGGACGTGGAGAACGTGGAGGATGAAATACAGGTAATGTCGGCTGACTGGTCATGGAAATATCTTAGTTCTTAATTATGTTCAAGAGCAAACTGTGTAATGTTCACGTATAAAATACTTGCTTGAGAGAGAATGTTCACCTCACAAATGCTTTTAGTTGTCAGGTGGACTTCTTAATTTTCGTGTATCCGATCATCATTCTTCACACTGTGCTATTCTCAAGAGTGTTTCTGAGAACAAATGACTGAACATGTTCTGTCATCAGATAGTTGTATGGTGCAAATCAATGCAGTCAATGCCTTGTGACAGCATGTAAATTTTAATCTTAGGTCCTGCTCTTCACCGACATAAACATAAGCTTGTGAAATTCTTAGTTGGGTCAAGTGTTGTGAGACTGCTATCTTGAACAAAACAAAAAAATCTGAGGATAGCATTTGAGTTCTTAGTTCTTGGTTTGGTTGCTGCTTCAGTGAGCAAATTCTAAAGCAACAGACCTGTATGTCATCATCTCTCGATGGATGTCATTTATAAAGTCTTAAATCTCAGGAAGGATGACCTATGCTTTGCTCAGCACTGACATTCAAGACGCCCCGCAAGGGGAGGAAGAAAATCATTAAGAAATGCTTCGATTTAGAAGCAAACATCGCAAACCGCGGAACAATTCGGAGTCAAGCCCACGTGAGGAAGGAAAGTGCAAACATGATGCATACGTGTCGAGCTTAAGCAGGATTTCAGGTCTTAGCACAGGATGGGTGTTGGGGAAAGATGTGTGATGAAGTCAGTCTTAAGTCAATCCATCTGGGCTTGGTTTGAAACTTTTGAGCAAAGTTTTATCAAGCACCATCTACTCTTCCCACACGGAGCCCATACATGTACAGGTAGTTAGTGTCAATGACCCCTCAACTGAATCATCCCTAGTTGGACTACCGGTCAACCTTTATTTCTAAAAGCTCACGGTCCTGGCTTCTTGCTGTGATATGACCTTCTTTTGAAATTGCAAATTCTGTAAGCTAAGTTTTGACTTAAGCTCCTCAAAACTGCTTTGGCACAGACATGGTGAGCTAAGTATGAGTGTCTGCACTTTATTGTCATGAGGCGGTTAAACAACACTTATAAAAAGTACCTACAGTATTTAAAAGTGTCTGCTGTTGCAAGCTGCAAGTTGTTGATTACATTAACTATATAGCCCCTCCCAGACCCTTCAAAATATTTCAGGAGACTTTCAGGATTAACTTTGATGTGCCAAAGAAAATACCACCAGTCTTTAACACAGTTGTGGATTGGTGGAAGATTCGTGAAAGGTCTTTGGAAATTATGCTAGGGAAAAAGATGCGAAGGGAGTGAGGGATTGAGGATAGTCGTGGATCACATTGGGCCAATTGACACAAACCCTGCCACACGCAGCACAGCGTAACAGTGTAAAAGTCTGTGGGACCTTGTGGCATTGGGCCATCGATACCAGTGCATTACCTGCCAATTCTGTGACAGTGGGAACTAATTCCATTAAACAGTTCCTCTGTTGTATCCTGTTGCATTTGAAGACCACAGACTCTGAGGCAGTTAGGTCTTTGGAATTTCACCAGTTGGATCTCTTTACACTGGGCAGGCTCCATTTTGAATGAGTGTTGCAAGTTGTCACATTGGGCAGGGTTCCAGGAAAAAATTGAGTTTGCATCGGAATTACTTGGCTACGACTGGATATAACACGTTGGTCTATGCATGTTTGATTTAATTCGGACACTGCCCTTCCCCTGGAGGGTTAGCTTTAAGCAAGTGTTTTGATGAGGTGCGGCTTTTTTCAGGAGCAGGGTCAGGAGAAAGCCAGCATGGACATGAACGTCTTCCTGAAGCTGCAGCAGAGGGTGCGAGACCTGGAAAAGGAGAAGCGACAATTCCAGGTCAAGCTGGAGAAGAGCCAGTCCGACTCCAAGACGCGGAAAAGCACCATGGAAGGGGACCTGGACGCCTCCCATGCTGAGGTAGGATCATCATGAGAATCCCAGGCTGATTTCACTGAACTGCTATAGACAAATTCGGCAAACAAAATTAGAAGCCAATTAGAAGCTCCTTAAGACCAATAGGGCTACCAATTGCTCGCGGAAGTGGTTCCATCTAAAAATTACTTCTAATTTGTTTTTGCTGAATTATTCTATAGACCAGGGCCCAATTTTATAGCTTTGCTAACCACAGAATTCTACAGGTACAATCACCTTTCTGTGCTACATAGCGCTAGCAAAAAATGAATTATGTGCCAAATCTTAATTACAGGTCGTACACATGCACATAAGCCAAATTTCATAACCAACCTGTGAAGTAGGCTAACCATAAGCACAGAATTATCTGCTACAGTAAGGGGGAATTTTATTTTTCTATTAAAAGGCAAGCGGAGCCATGCAGTTATGACATGCACTGGTGACATTGTCTATGAGCAGTAAACATTTTACTTGAAACAAAATTTGCTTAGCAAAAACAGGTTACCAACTGAAATCTAAAACTGCTCAGAATATGTGGGTTGAAAAGAAATGATCACCACTTTGATTTGTTAAGTAACAGGTTAATTGTTTTAAGAATAATAAGAAAACAATGCATGATGGTGTTCATGCTGATCAATTGGCTCATGGTGTTTAGGGGGTGCCATTTCAAGACAGTTATAGTATCCTCAGTTCATTCCTTAATTTATCTTATCTTTCAAATATTGTCTGCGTTTGCAGTTAATCTCCTACAAGGATGAGAACATGATGCTCAAGAAAGACCTGGGTCATTGCGACAGGCCCTCCAGAGTGATTCACCGGAGGATGACATGTTGAAGGTTCTGACCAATCAGGTGTCGGCGCTGGGCGACGAGAACCACAAACACAGGCAGGAGATCCTGAGGTGAGTCCAGATGAAACGGAGGACAAAATTATTACAAAGATTGCCCAAAAATGAGGAGAAACCACCAAGATAAACGTTCTGTAAACAGTACAAATCACTCCATTGAAAACCTTCAATCACCTTTACTCATTGCTGCTCACACAGTAGAGCATGTAAGTTGACCTCAAAAACCTGCGACATTTTACGAAAATACAGCACATCCGCGCACCATGTATGCCATCTACAAAGTGTGTAACGTCTGGGGTTTTTTTGGTTGCTTTTATTTATGTGTCCTGACTGGGCCCATCCAATCGAGGAAATAAATGAGGACTTCAAAACAAATAAAAGCATCACAATGTACAACATATTGCAAAAATTGCGAATTGATGACTATTATAATAAAAATTGTTGACTTCAACTTCCGTTCAATCGATCACGCATATTACAATTAGGTGAATTCTTAACGCAATTCAAAGCGTGAACCACTACACGAAACCCACAGACTCTTAGTCAAGTTGTCTATGCAATTTAAGTAACAACATGGCCACAAAAAAAATCATCTTTTCTCCAAAACTCAATAGAAAACTTTGCCTGATTGGACAATTGTGGTGTCTCGCCTCACAGGTTAAAGACAGAACTGACCAATCAGCAACGCCGATGGGAGAACCGGTACAACGGGGAGGACTCCCCCGACAGCGGTGTCAGTAAGGAGAGAGAAAACCTCATACAAGAAGAGATTGCCTCGCTGAAGGATGACGACAACTTGGATGTCGCCTACAAATCACTGAAGATGACAAACCAGTAAGTAGACATCTCCTTGTTTATTTTAACTCAGGATGCAATCCTCACTACATCTTACTTTAAATTCAAGAAATAGCCTTTTCTGGCATAGCGTCTAACATTCCTGAAATTAGAGTAAAAACTTTTGGAGGACATTTATCTGATGTCCGGGAATCTTTTAGGGCAGTGACAAGAAATTTCTTCTTGAATTAAGAAAACTCCTTTGGCTTCAAACAATATGTGGCATTTCGTGGGTATGGTGGACAAACATTTGGCGCCATACCCTCAACATAGGGAATTGTATCGGTTATGCAGTAATTGTAATGCAGTGTTGTTTATTGGATGGTAAAAATGCATGCAAACCAGTTAGATTAGCGCTTTCACTTCAAGTCTGGTTCCCCGCCTCGCCAATTAAACTCTAAGATACAACCAGTGGAAAATCTTGGAAAAATTGGCTCACTCGTTGAAGTCTTAAAGTTGGATTTTCTTAAAGGGTGAAAACAATTTTCATTGACACTGCATAATACTGCCCGCAAGTCTGGTCCAAATTTGACCTACTCCAACAAACATTGTAGCGGATATGTATGTTATATGTAACAACTTTCACTGACTGGTTCATTGCTACACCTGTTAATGTGTGTATCTCGTCTGATAACATAAAATAACACAAATTAAAAAAAGGTTGAGGGTCTTACGTTTAACACTAAGATTGTTTTCCATACGTCTGGGTTCTGTTCGTGCCTCATTCCTATTTACTTGTATGACGATATTTGTTAAGTTTGTAAACTGGTACAAATGTTACTTGTTTCCGTTTCCGTAAGTACTCTGAATGAAAACAAAACAAAAAAAATAAGTAAACAAGATAATAATGTTGCAGAATATTGCTGTGAGTGTGAAAGAAACCAAAAAAGGGCCAGACATGCAACAGAAATAGTTCATATCATTGTGTGTGTTGCTTGCTGACGGAATAATATTGGGTTTTTTTATATGTATGGTAGCCAAATGTGTGCATACTTTTGTGTTTGCTTTTTTTTCACTTTTTGCCTTCCAGTGTGGACAGACTTATACTCATGTACTTAGGACAGAATTTCAGATTTCAAATTTTTGGAGCCTACTCCCGATCTCAAACAAATCTAAAGTCATTTTGATGGGCATTGTTAATTTCTAAATGTAATATGATTAGTGGAATTTAGTTGCCATTATATGGCAAAACGGTGCAGTGTTTGGATTCTGTTAGACCCTCCCTTCCTCCTACTGTTCTTGCCCCGCCCCCTCCTCAACCCAATGGCAGTACTTACTTTTCCGACCAACTTTGATATAAAATCATCAGAGTTTCAGTCACTCACTCTAAGTGATCTTTCTTTGGTCAGTCAGCTTGGACAATAAACATCCAAAGTCTCCCCTCCCCACCCCGAAAAAAAATTAATAACTTTAAAGGGAACTGTAATCTCTGAACTTCAATCACAGAATACTCCTTTTTTTTTACATACCAACATTTGCATAACTGCTTTCCGTTCCTTTGTTGTTGTTTTTTGGTCAAAATTTGATTTCTACTCGTACTTGACATTTCATGGGATAGTTGGTTTGGTTTCATTTAAAGCTTACATGTACATAGTGCATTCCTGAGTGCTGTTATTTTACATGTGTGTCAACTTGGCCGGCAATGTATCCAGTGCAACTCTCAAGTGTTTAGTTAATTAACAAGAAACGTTTGCCTACCGGTATATTTACATATTAAACCCGAAGAAACTTTAACAATTAACCTATGGATTGATGGTTGTATGGGCTCCATGTGTGACTACTTGTTAACATTGGTGAGCAGAGGATAGTTACTGACAGAAGATGTGAGATTAAACTAGAACTGCAAGCATGCTTGCAAAGAGTGCTGGAAAATGTTCATGAAAATTTGAACCTATTCACCTTGTACATTGTTAGTACATAGATGTGCACATGTGGTTTCCCCCTACTAAAAAAAAACCAGTCCACTAAGAAGAACGTTTACCTTTGCAGATGGATCAAAATCATTATCGAAGACCCAGTCAAATACAAATCTGTTTGAAAAGTAAAGCAAATTTTCCAACAAGCAAAGCCTGATATTTATTTCCGTCAGAGGCTTGGCAATGTCTGCCCATGGATCCAACTTTAAAGTGTGTGTAAGACATGTACATGTACAAGCACGGAGCATGTAGTTCTTAACACACAGAAATAATTTTAAGTCTTTCATGATGGCTTCTTTTTTTTGCCATAGTATGAATTTCAAAGGATTTTTACAAAGTTTGTTTAAAGAAACATTTAACATAAGAAGTTCCCTTAATTCCCAAGTCAGTGTTTTACTACCAGGTTAATTCAGCTTCATTTACATATATGTCACACCAAATCTGACCAATCACAGGCTTGCATGTCAAACAACTCCAAACCCACCCCCACAAACTCAAAAACAACCCAGAACCCAATCCCATTGTTCACCCATGCTTTTTGTTGTTATTATTTCCCCCAACACCCCCCCCCCCCTTTTTTTCTCCTCCACCCTATTCTTTGTCGCCGACCGTTTTTGTGTATATCTCCGCCTTCTCCCAGTCTGTTTGCTGCCCTCACTGCCAGCCAGACTAGTTTGCGCGACACGGTCTCAAAGTACGGCAGTCTGGCCGAAAATCACAATGACCTTCTGGTGGGCAAAATGTGAGTAAATACCCCCCTGTCCCCGTTCCTGTCTGCCTCATGCCTGTCAGATTGTGTTTCTTCTTTTAGTTTGTTTTTAATCTATGGAAAAAATAGCTTGGGTTTAAGCTCATCTGAGATACTTAGCCTGGTCACTGAATGTGCATAGTTTCTCTTGTCATTTATTAGCATCTTGATGTGGATAGCACAACATCATTCCATTCATGGTCACATATGTCTGATTGCTTTGGGGAGAAAAAAATAACTTGAGATCACATACAAGTGCTGATTTATTGTGTGATCACTTCATTTTTCAATGTGGTGCAGTTCTACATGGTAGTGGGGGGGTAGTTCCTTTAACTCCACTTGGCCACACACCACAAAAAACGCCTTTTTTAGTCCCCCCCCCCCCCCCCCTCAAAAAAAAAAATGAATAAGAGAATTGTTTTTTTGGTGAGTAAAATTTTGCTAATAATGACCAACATTTTACAAATATGTAAAAAATTTGTAAAGCTGTCAAATTTGGTCTGTGTTTTGAAACAAACAAAATCTGGGGGTTTTTGTAGTTTATTTATTTCATAATTTGATCTCAAGTTTTGGGTTTTTGGGGATTAACTAAAGATTTTCAGTTCAGAACTGCACCTACATGCGTACTTCCACCAAAATAGTCACCCCAATTCAAGGTCGGCAAATACATGTATAGTCTTGCACTCTGGTTCACATCGGGAAACGGGTCATTTGCTTTTGAAATCTCACTCCTTACAAAAACAAAGACTGTAGTTTTGATCATTCGTACTTTGTGTTTGGTTTTCCTGCACAGTGCTTCACTCATGCATTCGGCACGACCAATTAATATCTCTTCTAATCATGCATCTTGCCTGTATCATTCAAAAATACTCCTATAAAAATAATCAGTCCCCTGAAAAACAGTACCCAGGAGTCCCCTTTTACAAGTTCCCATCAATTTTTAAAATATAAACTCAGATCACATTTTCAATTTCAATGTGGTGTCATTATGTACCAAAAGTGTGCTTTACTCTCCCTGTTGCGTCCCCCTCCCCCATCCCTAATCCTCTACCAATGTTAATCCCTCCTTTTTGAAGTCTCAAACCATCTAGACTAATCCTCACATATATGCATTTTGTATTAATCTTTTTTCTCAAGACAAAGCTTGTTCCATATTTTCGTTGGCCTCTGAATGAATACTAATACATAAAGCTTGTTGTATAGATTTTAAGGGATATAAAAAAAACGAATTTTTAAAATTCTGCCGAGCAAAAAATTGAATATCATTTTTTTAAACTGGTGTGGGACGAACCCTTCATGGAAAGCACTGTAGTTGTGGGAATGACATAATAAAATTAAGATTTCATAATTAATTCTACAAAATTGTCAAAATAGAGAAACAAACTGGAGGATACTAGCTCATGTACTTCCATTCCAATTCTGGTACAAAATACACGACATTTGCTATTGTCTTGTAGCATCAGCATGTCATCTGCATATCATTTGCATATTTGCATGTCGGGCAACTGGTTCCCTGTTTGGCATACTAGTGATAGTGCTTTTTCACCGGTTCCACCATAAACCAAATGCCATATAGATAATAATGGCAGCTCGGCTGACTGACCAAAGATAGAAGCTAGAAACTCTAACACTGTGCATGCTGCATATTAAGAAAGATCTCCCTACCCATCGTGTATTAATGCATTTTGCTTGGATTTTTGTAATTTTTATCTTATTCCAAATTCATACATACTTACGTTTGCTCTTCGCAAATGTTGTAGATTGATACAATGTTTTATTTTCTATATGGTACATTGTAGTTGAGAATGTTTTGATGCATGTATTGAATGAAGTAAGTTGCGAATCTGATTTTTTGTTTCCAAAAAACTTTTGTTCCAAAATCAAGTGGAATATTCCTTTTACTCCAATTAAAATTCAGATATTTTGGAATGCTTCTTCCACTGAAACTTGCTGCAAATGAAAATCAAAGAGTACTTAAGAACTTTTCTAAAGGTTGACTTTTATTCTTGTCTGTTTCAAGCATGCAATGGGGATTGTTGTCGGTTGGGGGTAGGCTGGGGTTGAAGTTGGGGTTGGGATAATATTGTTATTCATACATGTAGTTATGCTTGACAAAATGTGTATGATTGTCGCACCTTCCATTGTTATCCATTGTTATAAATTAGAATGGCCTGACTCAGTGGTGCACCCAGGATTTGGCTGGGGGGTAGGGCTCACAATTTTTGTTTCAATTTTTTTAGAAGTTTGAATGTTGTTTTTTAAATGGACTATTTTGACGTTGGTGGTGCCATTTACAGCCCTATTATACTGCTCGAAAATAGGCCACATATGCTACATATCACTATGGTTAAATCGTGGGACTAAAAAAATGACCCCCCCCCCCCCAAAAAAAAAAAAATTGGACCCCCTTCTGGGGGCTTGAGCCCCACCCCCAGTGTGGCACTTGCATGACTTTTGTTTACCTGAGCAGATTGTCTCAACGGCTCTGCAAATTTGAGTGCACCCAAAAGATTTTGTAGTTTCATTATCAAGTTTGGAAATTTGGAACTACCATAAAATATCAATAATAGAACAAACTTTTCTAGAAAATTAGCATCAAAATACATTTATATGCTTTCACCATTTTGTCTGGATGTTTTGTGGATTTTTTCTTCAAATCCCAAGTTCTTTTTGACTTTCGTAATTTATTTTAGGTCAAACCCACCAGGTACTTCAGAAACAAGACGGTCTGAGTATGTATCTTGAAAACGGAAGACGTTTCCGTCAATGTGCACCTCCACACATGACACCAATTATGTTAATTAACATGACATAAATAAATTAATTAAATAATTATAATAATTAATTATAAACTCATCATATATTTAATCTTTACTATGAAGTAACATGACTACAGGAACATAACATGTTTACAAAACAAAATATACATGCCCCCCCCCCCCTCCCCGAGTAATCTAAACCCTTTACAGTTTGACAGAGTTTGAAATTAATTATAATTAATTGAATAATTAACTATAAACACATCATATTTAATCTTAACTAATACAAAATGAAGTTACTGGACCGTTCAGGAACCTAACATTTTTATGAAACAAAATATATTTGCCCCCAGTAATCTAAACCCTTGACAGTTTGACAGAGTTTGAAATTGATACATAACAACAACAAATAACAATAACAACAAATGCATGGTCCTGTCTTTCAAAAATAATACTGCCCACAATTATGTGTAACCTTTCTGAACTTGTGAAAACTATTTTTTAGACAAGATTTAACTTATGTTACTGTGGAACTCATTAGATAAAATACATGACAGTATATATGTAATTGTCAGAATTTTTGGAAACGTTTAAAGAAATACCATTGAACAAAATCAATAAAAACAATTTACCAATGTTTGTTAGGATTCCTTTCCGTATTTCAACAGAATTTCTTTTAGAAATTTTAGGCCTTGGCATTACAAGTTTTGATCCTTCATAGATAAAATTTTTCAAAACTTCCATATTTCAGACATCCTTATTCCTTTACTAACCCTGATGTAAAATTGTTCCGATTTTCCATCTGTGCCACTTCATTCTGTATTCCTAATCTATTAACAACATCGATCTGGCCTGGACCCGATTTCGTGGAACTGCTAAGTGGCGAATACTTCTAAGCAAATTACCCATGCTTAGCAAGAAACAGGGTAACTGTACACTCATAAGGCCCCCTTCAATGGAGAAGCCATTGTGAATGCTATTGTACAAAGCAACTGTCCCGTGATGGATTATCTGAACAATAGCTAGCACAATGCTTTCGCCATTGAAGGGGGCCTTCATGATTTGACAGCGTGGTCTGTAGCAGTAGATACTACGGGACAGTGAGTGTTGCTGCTAAGCTGGTTTTACTCAGCAATTTTTAATATTTTTTTGTGTGCTGAGTACAATTTCGCACTAAAATTTGGTCCTTGTGATTCATGAACACCTATTTCTAACTTTTAACAAATGTAGACTCAACCTAAACAGATTTTCCTGACTTTTTTTCTTTCACAACTATTTCTCTGCTTTTTATACACCACGGATTTCTAAATCCAACAATATCAAATAGGTAAAAGTTTGTATTGGGTTTTGTTGAACTCAAACCATCTACTAGAGATCTTTTGATTAAATGATTGAAATCGACCAGAACAAAAATGTCAGGCCTCTTAAAATTATTGTCTCAAAGAATTATGGAAATCCAGTCTACTTACCTTTTTTTTGTTTGCATGATTTGCATACGTAGCTCATACAGCACTCTGTCTAGTTTCCCAGCACTTGCACAAAACCATACATTAAATGGGTGGCAGTTTATGCTTTCACAGTTAACATTTTGACGCCAGACTAATACATGTATGTGTTTTACCTGCATGTTTGAACTGTAGATGTAGTTGCACTGAAATCGCACACATTGCACAATGTTGTAAAATTATATTTTAGTAATGAATATACTGGATAATAACATTTCTTAAAACGCATTTTTGTATGAAAACTGAAGTATATATTTGTTTCTTGCACAATGTTTTGAACGTTTTCTGTCATAATTTGTCCCGACTCACAGAATTTTAGAGAAAGAAATTCAGGCACTGAAGAAGAACCACGAAAATGAGGTCAAGCAGTTGAAGGAAGCGTTGGAAAGTCTGAAGAAGGATAACGACAGACAACAAGAGATTATTGGACAGGTTGGCATTTTCGCCTTTTTGGGTTTTTTTTGGGGGGGGGTGGTTATGCAAAAATAACTTAAACAAAGTGAGGGGCAAGGTGAAATCCTGTTTAAGTAATTGATTTAAGTAGTTTTTTTACACATTATTTCAAACAAAAGGAAAGTTTTGATGTTATTTCACCAGTCTTTATTCAGCCAAATTGTGTCAGTATTTTTTTTTTATATTTTCTAGTTTGCAAAGCTTTCCTTTGTCATTGGTCACCTCTTTAAAAAAAAATCCAGATAATTCTGGTTCCAAAATTATGTGTGAGAGCCTGCCGTTTGTTTGGAGGTGTACATATAGGATAGTGCAAGAAGATATTTGCCAGCTATGATTTTTTACGACAGTTTTAGAATCTCACTGCTTCAGTTGAAATCTTTGGATTGTAATTTCTGTAACTTTCTGTCCGACATGTCCAAGTAAAAGTGTTGACTTTGAGCCGTGTTCAACAGCTCAGTAAATAAATTTGATGTTTGTTGTGCCTCCCTGAGCAATTTGTCTTGAAGGAAGATTGAAAGTATCAATGTTTAATTGTTATCTTCATCTATTTTTTTTTGACAGAGTCTTAAGATGACACCAGAGGCTCGCATTAACCAGACAGTCCAGCATGAAATATCAAGGCTGACCAATGAAAACCTGGTGAACAATCCATGATTTCTCAATTTTCTTTCTTGTTCCCTTTTATTGTACGTTCCAAAGACTGTCTCAGCTACCTGGGGAGTGTACAGCTCCACGCTGCCATTACGGCGCAAAGCAGTTAAAATCAACCACATTAACCATCTCTGCCCTCACAGGTACCCATTTACTCTTGGGTGGGGAGAAGCAATGAGTGACAGACCTTGCCCAAGGGCACACGCACCATAGCCGCAGGCTGGACTCGAACCCACAACCTGCAGAATTACCGGCAGACCACGAGTTCAATGCTCCAGACCTCGAGACTGCTTATTCAACTGTACACCTCTCATAGCCTTTTCTTTTGTAAAATATTTGATGGTTCAGAGGAATGTTATTTGACAAAAAAATGTTATTATTTTATTTCACTAGGATCTTCTTGAGCAGATCGATTATCTGGAGAAGCAGGTGAAGAAACTCAAGAGGCAACTCAAGGTGGCCTACAGGAAGGTCACTAGCACCTTAGAGTCATCAGGTATGCATTCTTATCCTCTTGGCTTAATGGAACCTGTGCATCACGTGTAGAGGGCAGTAGACAGCCTACCTACTAGTCTGAACATATCTAGTGTCATTGGTAGATTGATCTAAGACTTGGTGTGGGTTGGGGGGGGGGGTAAAACAAGTTAATAGATCACACAAGTATGAATAGGGTACTGTATTCTACTTGACTTGTAAGTGTCCTAGAGATGCAGTTGAGTCCATCAAGAGTCCATTGCAAGTCCAGTCACAAGTAACAGTGGATGAACAATAAAGGAATGCCTTTGTAAAAGCTCCTCTGAATAGCTTGTGAGTTGAATTGGGACTGGAGGACTTGTGATGGACTTGTAGGGACTTGTGATGGACTCGCTGTTCATTTGATTTATGTCTCTGTGTATATAGTGCTTTTCTAATTACACTTTGCCTTTTATCTACAAGATTGTACACATTGTAAAGAATGGTAGCATTAAAATAAACGCACTAAATAAAAAAGAATTAAAAGTTGTCTTGCGCTATTGTCAATTGTTTCATCTTAGGAATGGTTTGTGTTTTTGTTTTCTTCCCTCAGCTACCCCAACGTCACTAAGCGAAACAACCATTTCGTCGCACTATTCTGCGCCGCCCAACCTCAGCGACACAACACAGATAGCGCCGGCCAACGTGAGGATGAAAGAACGCGAGATCCTGGGAATGCTGGAGTACAGGCAGGAGGACGACGTTAAGATCATTAAGACCATCATCATAGGTCAGTGTGAGATGTCATGTTGTCTTATTGATTAACCCTAACAGAACTCAACCCATCAAACTCCAACAGCATGTTTTGTTGGAATCTGTCGGGATGGGTACAGTACCCCTAAACTGACAGTCTTTTACATTGGGTTGGCACACCTCCAGAATCAGTCAGAAATATGTGTGTACAGTTTCCCATATGGTGTTGGAATTCGCCAGGTATGGTTCCTAGTAAATCATGCTAGGGAGTTAGGTTAATGTTGATACATTGTGTGAATGCATTGCAGGATGATACATTGTTATTAGTGTGACCCTCAGCACAGAACCAATCGGAAGTTGCACAGCCGTATGTTGAGATATAGTCTGTAATACATTGTACAGGCCAAATTTTTTTTTGAAATTTAAGCATTCACTTTCAGTGAAGTTAATTTGTAAATTTCCTAAGGAGTTCATTTGGGAAACTTTCAACCACAAATTTCTCTATTTTTTTTCAACTTTCCAAGGCATAAGTACATAACATATCCACCACTAGTTGATCAAAGATCATCAATTAAACTTACAAGTACAATTATTAAGGAAGCGATTTTCAAATCTTGTCTCCTCCAGACTTCCATCCCAAGAATGCGGAGAGTCATCTACCCGGCTTACCGGCTTACATGATCTTCATGTGCATACGTCACGCTGACGATATCAACGACGATCGGAAGGTCAAAGCGCTTCTCACGGGAGTGATCAACGGCATCAAGAAGACCGTCAAAGTAAGTGCAAATGAACGTTGTATTAAATTTGGGGGTGGGGGGAATCCAGCTGCTGGCCATATGTTGTGTCCTTGGGCAAGCCTCTTCACCCTCACGTGCCTCTCTGCACCAAGGAGTATATGGGTCCCAGCATTAGCTGGGGAGTAACCTGCGATGGACTAGCATCCCATCCAGGGGGAACATTATTTAAATTGACTTAAAGTTTTAACATTAAATGCAATATTTCTTGCAAGGCATGTTTATGCTCTATACTTCATATTTAAAAATTAACGTTCAATGTATTTGTTTAAGTTGGTGTTTTATCATCTTTATTTCGGCAGAAACACTTTGAGGACTTTGAGTATGTGTCCTTCTGGCTGACAAACACGATTCGGTTGATGCACACACTCAAGCAGTACAGCGGTGAAGAGGTGAGTACAAAGCAATGCTGTAGTCAGGGTGCCAGACCAAGACTAAAAACAGAACTTACAAAGTAGAATGTAAGTGCACTTCAGTCCATCAGAGTACCAAAGAGATACGGATTCAATCTTTTCAAAGAAATGTTTGTAATTGCAATGCTTAAGCAATTTTTAAATTTTTTTTTTATAAATATGTCGGTGAAGGGCAAAAGCCAAAGTGGAATTTATGTCACCCCGCCGCAAATTCTATCTTTTGAATTGTTTGGTTGCGGTGCCCACTGCTATATCAGATTGGAATTAGCCAGCATACCCCTGCAGACTCAATGGTTCAATGGTAAGACGTCTTCACAAGTATTGAAGGAGGAGGTTGTGGGTTTGAACAACACTGAGTATACAGTGTTTATAAAAAGAAAAATTAAAATATGTCAATGAAGGGAAAACCAAATATTAAATCTGCAAAAATTGGTAACCACACCAAATGTTATGCAGTGTTTATATCTTGTGACTGGTTGTCTACAGGATTTTTCCGTAGCACTTGAATTTACGAAACAATTTTATGGAAAGAATTCAAGCATCGTTTTGACCTTGTATCTGTTTTTTTGTTGAAATTGTCCTTCCCAGAACCTCTCCAGTCAGAACACACACCGGCAGAACGAGCACTGTCTTCGGAACTTTGACCTGTCGGAGTACCGTCAGGTCATGAACGATCTCGGAGTTCACATCTACCAAATGCTTGTCCACATCATTGAGAACAAGCTACAGCCGATGATTGGTAAGCCGGATCAAAATTGTGGTCAAATAATTCTAAGTGTTTTGGTTTTCCAATTCAGACATTGGCTAAACGTGAAGAAATGGCAGTGATTATTGATAAGTCTTTTGAAAATGAAAATTGCCACATGTGGTACAAAACCAGGCGAGAGTTTGAAAACTTAAAATTCACACCAGATGACTGTTTTAGTCTGATAACTTAAATATGGTTTGCTAAAACTTACACCCATGAATAGAAAGTGAACAAATTCATCAAATATAATGCTTTGCAGAAATATAATCCAGTATTTGAACATTTAGAAGCAAAACAAATTCATCCACGTATTCAAAACATTTTCAAATTTTAGGAACAATGTACTGGTCCCTACTTACGAACATGATATAATATGTTTGTTTTCATACTCATTTGTCAGGATTTTTTTTACTTTCATGAAATTAACTTTAAGCACAGGTCCAGCCATGCTTCAGAGTAAGAGTACGTAATGCAATCCATGATTCAAAATTGCTCTTTTTATTCTTTGCTAAACTTCCCTTGGTCTTGCCGCCGCTGTCCCCCCTCCCCCCCCCCCCCCCCCCCCCCCCCCCATTTTTGACGTGATACAACAAAAATCAAGTGTAGTGTTGTGGAATAATTATTACTGCAGCTCTTTGCTTTTTTCTCCTGGGTACTGTAAAACTTGAAGCACTATCTTCACAAAGTTTTGTGGACTTTTGCATGGGAAAAAAGGCTTCTGGAATCTTTGGCCCTTTGAGCGCAGAACTTGACCCTTCCTGGGCCCCAAACCCTCAATCTACCCCTCCCCCACACCCACAGGTTTGTTAAGGTGAAACTCGGAGAAGGTCCATGTTGTTCTTGGGCGACTTGGCAAGATGTTATATGAGTTCAGTTTCATCATTTTTGTTCTTTCCTCATGCAGACAAAAATGAGAAGTAATGCCATTTTTGCAGCAGCTCTAAACATTTTTGAAAAAAATAAAAACAGAATGTAAACAAATTTACAAATCTTCTACACAAAGAGTCAGTTTGTTGAAGGTTATTTCTTTGTGAAAACCATCAGATGGATAAAGAAAATCAAATGTTTTTTACATTTGCCTGGTGTAATACTGGTATTTTTTGAGTCATAAATTCAGATTTTCTAAATAGCTTTTAAGCCCGGTTCATAAATAGCTTTTAAAGCCCGGTTCATACTCGTGGCAAGTATTCGCGCTGCGAATTCGCAAAAGTTGAACATATTTCAACTTGGGTGAATTTCGCAGCAAATGTTTAATGGCGTCAAATTTGATTCGCATTCGCACGAAGTATGAACCGGGCTTTAGATTACTCGGAAACAGTAATACTTCACATTTATTGATATTTGACTCAATTTTTGTTTTCTTCAGTTCCTGCCATGCTGGAAAGTGACGTCGCCGGTCTGTCCACCAAACCATCGGGTCTGAGGGGCCGTAGTGCCAGCGTGTCAGTCGATCACGACAGCCAGAATTTAACCATAGAATCCTTAATCAAACAGGTTGGTCAGTGTTCTGTGTGCGTGAACGGTAGATGGTGCTTTGTGAACATTATGGAGAGCTCTAGTAAGGGGAGACACAAAGCATGCACATGATGGTTCGCAGGCGTACCGTACTGTGCACAACTTATTTTATTTTGAATGTGCACAAAATCGTGGCATCTTCTCATGAGTGTCAGGCGGAGATGCGCTTGATTGTCTTTCCCAGTGGTCTCCCCTGACTCTCTCTTCGTGACCCTTGAGGGGGTACTTGTGCACGAATCCACCACAGAAGGAAGGTGCAATAATATTTTGAATTTAAGTGCTAACTTGCTCAAATGATGTGGTATGTTCTGAGGTTTATGACACAAAACACTGTAATGTGGGCCACAAAATTTCAGTTGTGTTAGGGGCCATTCAGAATTTTCAATGTTTTAAAATTTCGACTTTTTTTCCAAATTATTTTGACCCACCCACCCACCCCTAATTTCGATTAATAAAAAACTGAACATGTACATGTACATGCACTTGCATGTACAGTGTGTACATATACTTGAACATGTACATGTACATGTATACCCATGTACATGTACATGTGTACCCATGTACATGTGGGTCTAGTTCAGTGACGGCGTGAAGTTGTCGGTCTTCCTCTTTTGCAGTGGTGGCCTTCAGTTTTCTTGTGTTTTGCCAGCTGATATGCTGTTTGGAAAGACAGGTTGCAGTCTAAGAAGCCACAAAGATGACCGTGGTTTTGTCATTTTTTGGATTAGCCCCATAAATGTGGCCAATTTACTGGACTGCCTCTGTAAATAAAGGTTACACTGCCACCATGTACAAAAACATGTCGAACTTTGTCAACTTTTTGTCACATTTAGGCTTAGTTTGTAGTTTATTTTTGCTTTAGAAGCATACTCACCCTCTTTATAGTTTTTATAGCGATTGGTAATCGACACCCGCGGCGTGTTATAGAGCCGATCTAGTACACCAGGTACCCTGCTGCAGTGGCGTAGCCACCGGGGGGGGCGTGGGGGGCGACCGCCCCCCCCCCCCCATGAAACCTTGTCGCCCCCCCCCCACAGTCGCCCCCCCCCCCCCCCCCCCCAACTGAGATTTTGAGTTTCTAAAAAAATTATCATTGATCTACATGACGCCATGGGCCCTATTATGTACTACAATGTATCTTTTGCTTAGAAAATATTGGTTAAAGTGGTCAGAAATTGCCTCAGATAGCACCACAGAGCATTTAGAATCCAAAATTTTTGGGGGCCCTTAAGCGGGCCCCGAACCCCACGCCTATAGCTCAGAATTCTGGTAGCTGATTCAATGACTCCAACCTCGAAAACAATGTTCACAATATGCCTTTAGCTGAAAAACCCTCGAAAATTATGTTTAAAATTATTATCTTTTGTGCTAAGATAATTATTGGTTAAAGTGGTAAGAAATTGCCTCAGATCACACCACAGAGCATCGAAAATCCTTTTTTTTTCGGGGCCCTTAAGCGGGCCCCGAACCCCACGCAATAGCTCAGAATACCGATAGCTGATTCAATGTCTCCAACCTCGAAAACGATGTTCAAATAATTATCTTTTGCCAAGAAAATATTAGTTAAAGCATGGAGGAAAGTCGTAAGAAATTGCTTCAAATCACATCACAGAACATCTAGAATCCATTTTTTTCCCGGGGCCCTTAAGCGGGCCCCGAACCCCACGCCGTAAGGGCTTTCCGCTTCGCGCTCGCATCAGTAATGATCAAGGTATTCCCCCCCCCCCCCACTTTTGAGAAGCGATTGACGCCCTGCTTGACGCCCCCCATGAAATGTTCCAGCCTCCCAGCGTCCCCCCCCCCCCCCCCCCCACTGAAAAATTCCTGGCTACGCCACTGCCCTGCTACCTCTGCACGGCCTAACCGCTAGAAACGCCCGGCATCCAAGTCTACTGAAAAACCACCTCCCTCTCATGCCACAGTGGGTCTATATACACGTACATGTACATGACGTACATGTACAGTACATTCAGGGGAAAGAAACACGCATCGCGATATCGGAACGCTTGCGCGTTGTTCAGGCAAGTCAAAAGATCTATTTTTTTTTTTTTTTTTTATCCTTTTTCCATGGAAAGTGAATTTCGATTTTCAATTATTTAGCTTGACCCACCCACCCACAATTTGGAAAAAAGATCGAAATTTTAAAACATTGAAAATTCTGAATGGCCCCTTAGCAGTGTTTCTTAAAATGTGGCTGTAAATTGTTGCCATCTACTTGAACATCCATGAAAAATTGTTCGAGTGATGGATTGGCTAAAAGGCTAGAACTGGATTGAAATCCACTCGTGGATTTTTTTTCGGGTGAACATTTTTTTTTTAGTTCTGACTGACATTCCTTGATGGATTTTTTCGTTACTTGATTTGTTTGATTTCTAATTTCTTTATTTTTTTTTATCTGCAGCTCACCACGTTCCTAACAGTAATGAATAATCACGGCACGGACCCTGAAGTCGTCAAGCAAGCCATCAAACAGGTATGAGACTTCTCTCTCCCTTTTTGTTGTTGAAAATTGACCTTATGTGTCCAAGTCCTGGAGCAAACTGAAGCACAAATCAACTTGAAGAAAACGAAAGATGTATTTCTTCTATTACATTTGTTCAAATTCATAGTTCCTTTTTTTCTGTCGTTACCGTAGTCCTTCTACTTAGTAACCGCCAGTACTATCAACAACATACTGCTGAGGAAGGACATGTGTCATTGGTCCAAGGGCGTCCAGATCAGGTAGGTCAATTTAACCATTGGAGAAATCTCCATTTCAACAAATCAGGAGAAATACTCACAGCGCTCCAAGGGCTTCAAGATGTACATCAAACAAAGCCTGGTTCACCCTCTTTTACTTTGTTTAATTTTTGTTTAGGTTGATATTTCCTTCCAAAGATGACCACACTCTAAAAGTAGTCAAGAAATCATCGTCATTTTGAAACTAATCCATCCATTCCGTTGCAAAAGTAGAGCAGTTCCCAGTCCAAGTTTAGCCACATTTTCTCAGAAATTGTAGGCCTAAATCTTGATCAGAGCTTAAACCCTTACTTGCTACAAACCCTCAAGTGCAAGGCCCGCAAAATTCTTTTTAAAGAAAGAAAACTTAGGGTATAAAGTTGATAATTTTATTGTCTCCGTTGTGTTCTTGAAAGCAAAGTTTTAATGTATGCAGTAGGTTCAGGAAATATAAGTGTTGTAGTCAAATACTTTTATCCGAGTACTAAGTACGGCCGAGTACCAAGCTATCGGGTACCACCCGCATCCAGGTACTTTGACCCTTGAGAACAAGTACAGGTACCCAAGTCTAAAGAGTTGGACCTTTGAGTACGAGTACGAGTTCTTGGACCCGATCCCACGCAGACGCTGGTCACTCATTGTACATAAAGACAAACCGTGTAGTCTGCGCAAAGACCGACACAAAGGATCGATCTTCTCCACAGCCTGTTACTATTCAGTAAGTATTGATAAAACGGAGCACGTGCGTCTCCAAGTGAGGAGATTTTTGTTTCATTCAAAACTAAAGTACTCAATTTTTCCCCGAGTCCTTATAATCGATGATGGAGTACGATGTTGAATAGTCGAGTCATAGTACTTTGCTTCTCGAGTACGAGTGCTGTGAATTCGAGTCCAAGTATTTTGATATGCGAGTGCGAGTGCGAGAATTCTCAAAAAGTAGAGTTGTACTGGAGTTGTACGGAGTACGAGTACTGCAACACTTAGAAATGCTGACAAAAATGTTTCAACATGTTGATATTCCTTGGGCTTAGGTACAACATGAGTGAGTTGGAAGAGTGGCTACGGAGCAGCAAACTCTACGATCACAACATGGAGGAGACGTTGGAGCCCCTGGTCCAGATAGCTCAGCTGCTTCAGGTCAAGAAGAGAACGGAAGATGACGTCAGGCTCATCAGCGAAACCTGCACGAAACTCACTACAACGCAGGTAGGTCTTCAGTTTGTCGAAGACTTAAATTTGATAGAAAATTCAGGACAGCAAACTAATAAATTGCATTATTGAAAAAACTAGCACCTAGCACATAATGATAAATTAACAGAAATAGAAACCATACTTTGAAACCATTGTATTAAACCAGAAATTGCCATCTGGTGAATTTGGTTATTGTTTTCATCGGTGCAGGGCAAATCCAAAACTATTTTTCATTGTTACTTTGTGAAACCAATTCAAAGCACCAATTGTTTTTGCCCCCCCCCCCCCCCCCCCCCCCCCCCCACAATTTACAGGTCGTGAAGATCCTTAATCTCTACACACCCGACGAGTACGAGAAAAGACAGAAGTGTCTTTCATCCGCAAGGTGCAGGGCAAGCTAGCGGGAAGGATGACGCCCAAGAAAGATGCACAACTCCTGATTGACACCAAGTACACGTTCCCTGTCACCTTCCCCCTTCAACCCATCCTCCGTACTGCTCAATGAGATCACCATTCCCGACACTTTCAAATTGGACTGCGTCAAGCGAGTATGAGGGAATTTTCCCACGTGTAGTTCGTGATTTCGTCCTTATTTTGTGCATTCCGTAACTTTTATTCCTAGCCTCATGTTCAAATACCATTTTCCCTCCTTTTTTTAAGGGGCAAGCGTCTTCATTTTGGATTTTTTGTTGACTTGTGGTCTGTCATCTTTAAACTATTCAAATTTGTCTTCTTTGATCCATTGTCTTCATTGACATTCTTAAATGGGTACCCATTTGCAGATGGGAAACCAACAAAATATTGTTCTCAAAAGCATGTTGCATCCAGCTAGATTGCATTCAAAGTCGAAATCGTTTAGTTCAACCACAGTAGTATCCGTTGGTCGTAACTTGTACTGTTTTCAGCTGGTGAGGAACAGAGTTAAAGTGGACAAAATAAGGATACAATGCTACAGATCTATAAAAATATAACCATTCAAAATTTACTTGCATATAGAAAACAGACCCCACTACATGATTCCATTTCCACTCACGCCGGTGGGATAACAAAATAATAGTACATGTATATGATTGCATCAGGCAGTTGCAATACTGACAATGTCTTTCACACCGTTCTCTTCAGTAGATTTACAATTCAAACTTATTCTTAAAACCAGATTCGCAGTGTGTTAAAATGAGTGTGTGCAAAGTGCTGGGGCCAAAATTGGAAGATTTAAAGTTCTTTACCAGGTTATAAAAGAAAATGTTGATTGTAAGTTTAGTTTTGCAATAAAAGAACCGCTTTTTTAGGTCCAGTCTGTACTGATAAAGTCTGATAAATTGACAGTGAATTTCTCATCCGAGATTTTTACATTGTTGTATTCGTGTCTCTGTTGTTTCCATTGAGGCTGAGAATTTGGTTCAATATTTCATCGAACAAAAGTAAGTTTTCGTGATCTTGAATGACAAACCAGAAAGATGATCTGTGCGGTTTCCACTGCGGAAGGTAAAATAAAATAAATCCACAAATAATCAGTGATTCGTTTCAGTCAAAGTCGTTAGAATCACAAGGAGGAAAAAGCTTTGAAACAAAAGAAATGGAAATTCTCAAGGATTTTTATGGTTGACAAACGGGTCGCGTTTAATCAAGGTATTACAAAAAACATGAGAGGATTCTTCTGTGGGACGAACTTCCAGTTTTTCATGGATGACATTCTTATATTTACCTTACTTTGTCCGAGGTTAGATTTTTTAATAATGTTACACAGATAATGAAAACTGCTCTAGATATGCTTTCATGAGGTGATTTTGTTTGGTCTTTTAGGGAAACGGAACTTTGTAAGTCAGTTATAGGATGCTTTAAAGAAAAAAGCGACCACCTCGGTCGAAATGAGGACTAAGTCAAAGTTTAAATAAATATTTGATGTACAACCTTTTAACCTTCCTGCTGTCTGAACAGTCACAGACAGTCAAAAATTAATCCTCTTCCCCTGCCATGCCTTTTACACAGACAAGTCACTAACAGTCGGATCATATTTTGAGCAAGCACTTTGACTAGTCAATTCAGTCAACAGACAAAAGCATGCAACTGGTAGGCACAGCTGGCTTATCAATCACCTACAGTCAAAGCATAGCTGTATCAAGTTACATAAACAGTCATAGCCAGTCAACCCTGCATTAAGTAGGCTGGGAGCTCTTAACTTCTGAAAACAGTCACTTGATTGATTTTGACTGAAATTACAACTTGGCACAGAATGTGTGTTTGCGTAGGAGGGTTAATATGTATCAAAAGTTGGTCCCTGTATCTCCATAAACCGCCCTTGCCTGTTACTCCTTATACCGCCCGAAACCGCCCCAGCACTTTATTAGTTATATGGATTTATCAACTAATACAGTGTATTACAATGTTACACATGTAGTAATGTGTTATATCATGACTTACTGGAAGTAGACAATTAAGTGTAAGCCTCACATGGTTGTGGTTCAAATCGCGGCATCAATTTCTTCAATGATTTTTAATCACATGAAGAAATTTGGGTCATTTTAAGACTTATTCCTCATTTTGAAAGAGTGGGTCCAAGTTAATTTTCACTCAATGTTTTGTATTATACACTCAGTATGTAGCTGCCCTGTACATATATTATTGTTATTATGCATCGTGTAATTAATAAGCATTTTTTTGTGTATACATTTTGTCAAATATTACCAAATGTTTCATTTGATTTGTTACCGACATATTTGGTGAATTGCAAGAATTATTTTTTCTACTTATAAGCCAAATCAGTGTTGCACATTGAATTTCATTTTAATTGCGGGGAAAAATTTAAGTTTATAAAAAGTGGTGAAGTAATTCGTATATTTGCTTTGTAGCCTAGAGGTAATTCCCAGATAGCTGTGCTATTAATTAGGAATATATAATTCAATATTTTATTAAAAAAATGCGAGGTTGTGGCAGTAATGAAAAGATGATTAAAAGATAAAATATGGAAAAGGGGTTGGAAAACTGGTGCCCAGCAATTTTTCAACATTATTTGGTGTGTGAAATGGGAACCAACCTAGTGTTTAAAAAAAAATAATAAATAAATAAAAAGGTGATAAGTCAACAATTGGTGTATAGATTGTGTATACAAATTTAGAGCGATACATATGAACATTTGCTTCAATGTAAATAGTAATATTTGTTATAATCATGTTCAAATAGAGTAATATATTAATACTACTGTTGGCCATGATTAAGTTAGATAGTTTGTAATTAGTTGTCTGAAAAAAAGGTAATGGAAAAAAAGTTTTCATTTTATAACTTTACAGTTGAACCTCTCGGTTGTGTCTGTTGGTTGATGTAAATCCTGCTTAAAAAAAAGCCACAAATCTGATTGGTCAGTCAGATGTAATGCTGAAAGCTGATTGGCTGAAAGAGTTAATATAATAATGCCCTCCATTTTGGGTTTGAAGCGTGCCAATGATGCTATGAAAAACACAATTTTGAACTCAAAACTTTTTTTTAACGCAAGCGCATTCTAGATATTTTTTTAATCACTCAAAAAAGAAAAGAATTTATTCACGAAATGGTACTTATTCCGATCAAAGAATTAGAGGTATGTTGCATGTTCTTTTGTCATGTCGAACCCGCGATCAGGTAGATCCATGTAGTATCAGTCGGAAATAATATTAGTGGCTGTAGCAATCCACAAAAAAAACCTATTTATGACAGATTTTAATCATACATATAAAGCTGAAATTATTCGTAATACAAACCGCTATACCCAAGTATAATTGTATTTAAGTTATGCAGATGAAATCATGTATTCAAGCTCATTATTTGTAAAAGTTCCGTAATTTGTTTGTCAATTCTCCCAAAGGTTTACATCTGCTTATTGATCGCAGTAGCAATTACGATAGCGAGATGTATCCACTTATGTTTTTTCGTTCAGTCATAAAGAATATATTCTTTAATGTATATGTGTATGTCTAGGTCTAGTTCCGAGATTTGTCAAGCTTATGTTCCGTTTTTTTGTACGTGTATTTAATCAATCCTTTTTAAGTCGTTCAGTTGAGTATACACATGTACCCTGATAGTTATATAATAATCGTTCTTGTAAATTTAATTGAAAGAAGCCTAGGTATTGAGTACACTGTGACCGACTTCCACTACAGATTATGAGATATCGCTGATTGCTAACGGCTGAGGCAATAAAACGTTCCACAGTAAAACTGATGTTAGTTTTTTTTCACTTGTCCATTTTCTTGCTGCACCCACATTGAAATGAACATAAATATTCAATTTTTCTTTTCTGATTGTCCTCCCCTTCCCCTCCCCACCCCCCCTCCCCGAAAAACCCACACATACACAACAACTTGAAACTTGTACATCAAAAAAAGGTGTATACTTCTAAAAACCAAATTTGACCTTAAAAGGCACATAATCATTTCTTTTCATGCATTTGTTCGTTTCCAATAATGTCTCAAAATCCGAAGAAGATTCTTCAAACCCTAAACCCGTTGAACTTTAATCTCAGTGAATATTACACTTTTCGAGAAAACAGTGAAAAAAAATGCACAATCTTTTGATCATGAAACACGTTTTCATCCGAAGCACTCTATTTCCAAAAATCCCATTAAGAAAGTTAAATATCTTTTTCTGTCAACTCTCGGAACAAAAGTTACCAGTGAAAATCTTACTGGACATCTTTTTTATTTCGCCTTATATTGCCTTTATTTGCTGAATACCTTTCATATATTTTGTTCATATGGTAGTTAACAGTTGTAAAGGTAAAATTGCATTAATAAACTCAACACCCATTGAAATCAATGCGCAGAGCAACATTGTGAAATCTGTTTTTAACAAACTCACTGCAAATTTTGCCTGCCAAAGAGAATGTTGTATCCTGATGCCCCTTGTTTCCATCAGATAGCCTATTATCTCAATGACCGTCAGAATCGCAAAAAAAATGTTGAAAAAACATGAATCTGGGACGAAAAACATTTCTAATTTTGTAAAATGCACTCGGAACCTCCATAGAGTATGTGGCACTTGGATACCACATTGTGGAAAGATTCCCATATCTGGCCATCAGTTGTCACCCTGTGCACAATTAACCGTATGAGACTGGTCTGAACATTTCTAAGTGTTTTCTCAGTAAATGCTTCAAATATTTTCCCTGCTAAATTTGACTTTTTTGGATATATTATCACTTTCTGATAGCTGATAGGTCACTGAAGGAAAAATTTGTGATGGCCAGTGTGCAAATCTTTCCTATACATTATTCCAATTCTGTGCCTATCAAAATCCCCCAGCCCGTGCTGCCCCAGGTCCAGTAATAGCATGTTTAACGTCCCCGTCCGTTTCCTTTTTGGAGACCGCCTCCTTTCTTTCTTTCTTTCTTTCTTTTTTTTGAAAAAAGAAAAAAATGATACATTTTAAACAGTGACATCAGTTTTGCCTCTTTGTCTGTTGCATCTAGCCCATTTTAAAGCTGGTATGTCATTTCGTGAGTCCAAGTGGTGGCCATTAAAAAAAAAAAAACCTGGCTGCCATCTTGAAAGATATCCCGGTCGAGGGGGGAAAAAGGGCCTTCTCCTTCCTTTTTTTTTTCTCAAAAGGACAGGACGCTAATCATATTTTTTTTTCGGCCTTTCTAGACAGTGTAACAAATATCATCAACTTTGCTCGTATACGTACCAGTCTCGCCCATAAGGGTCCCAAGCTGTGGAACTCCCTTGATGTTTGTATAAAGAATATATGGAATCTTCCATTATTTAAACAAAAATATAATATATATCTATTCATATTCTCACAGGGTTACAAGACTTACTGTCCTTTCTGGTTTAGTTTTATTGTCTTATTGTATATGTATTTTGTGTTTAACAATACAACTTGTTAAGGTAATTGTTAATTAATATTAATGGGGATCCCTACTCGACAAGCAGTTGCTTTATGGGGACCCCCATCCATCATATCCGTAGACACTAATTATGTGGAAATAGAATGAATGAAGGAATGAAAACACAAGAATTACATTTTAGTTTTACGACGCGCTCTGTCCTGCTGCGATATTCCCCACAAAAACAGTCTTGTGACGTACGTCACAATATCACTGGTAACCATGTTACCCTGGTTATTCGTTACCATTCAAGAACCTCTCAGGGCGGCGCGGGACCAGTTTATGTGATCATCGGGGAATTCCCCGTAATAGCTTGAACTTCGCAGTAAAATGCATAAGTGTTCTTGGTTCTTGGTTGGTTCTACTGCTAAATACTTCACGTGGGAGTTTATACAGGAGGCCAGAAACACCGGGGCAAACCCCTTCTCTTAGCGATAAGTGTTTGTCTCTTAGCGATAGGTGTTCACTGGGTTCTTTTACGTGCATTTATACAACACACGGGACCTACGGCTTAACGTCCCATCCGAAGACGAAGCAATAATGGTTAAGTGCCTGGCTTAAGAATAAGAGCACAAGTGTTCGCCGGTGGGCTCGAACCCCGTCACCGTTGCCTCTGAAACACCAGAACATGAGTCTGGTGTTCTTAACCGCTAGGCCATGACACTCCAATAAGTTATTGTTATAACTTATGTTATGGGTACTTTGATTGTATAAAAACTGTTCAACACAACAGAGATACTAACCTTTCCGAAATGGAAGAAGAAGGTTATATATAATTCCTGAAAGCGAATTGGCACATTTAAAGCCAATTGGTAGTCGGGAAAGCAGCAACAGTACGGTATATACGGCGTTGTGGACCCACGAAGGTGCAGAACGCATGGTGGCTGCAAAAAGCTGCAATAACTTCCGGGAGGAGGAAGTCAAATTCTGGCAGCACTGCGGCACAAAAATGTCATCGAGTTTTTTGGACTTGTGAAACTGAGGTTCCCTCCGGATGGTTTTTTCATTGTGACTGAGTTGGCTGAGAAAGGCTCCCTCTGGTGCGTGATCGCTCAGAACCGCGAAAACTGGCAAGAATACAGGCAGCCAGTTTGGATGAAATGGGCTAAGGAAGGGGCTGCGGCTCTGAGGTACATCCACCAGAAGAACTACCAACATGGGATGTGAAATCGCCCAATTTTGTTATTACAGCTGATAATACATTGAAGATCTGTGACTTGGGCACAGCAAGAAAGTACAGTTGCACTGCATCCACTAACACCGTGAGAGGATCTTATCCCTGGATGGCGCCAGAAGCCATGGGCGTCAGTGAGCGACAAGAGGTAGATGGTCAAACCAGGAAAGCTTGCAAAGTCACAGCCAAGGCAGATGTTTTCTCGTATGCTGTTGTCCTTTGGGAACTGATTACTGGCAAGGTTCCACATGAAGAGAAGATGGGGCAGTTTGGAGATTTACCAGGCTGTTGTTAAGAGAAAAGAGCGTCTTGAAATCCCTGCTGAGTGCCCTGATACTAGTCTGGCTGAGCTCATGGCGTGGTGCTGGGATGCAGATCACCGTCAGAGACCCGACATGAAGGAGGTGCATCAATTCCTTGTTGAATTTGACGCGACAGATGCAAGTAAGTAATGTCACTTGTTAGACCTAGCTAGGCTGCCAAGGGAAAAAGGAAAAGGAAAACTGGCAGTGCCTATATGTAAATGAGACTTTGAGAGAGTGAGATTAAACCGTATTTACTCATGACATGATCATGAACATAATATGTTTGTGGTATGCATTAACCCTAGTCAGACCTAAGTGATGCCCATTGTTATTAGGTATTGTTATTAAGTTTAGACCACTTGCCAACAACCAACCAAGTTTTTGGGGTTACTGTTTGTGTTTTATTCCCTCAGCTACCCCAACGTCACTAAGCAAAACAACCGCTGCATCACACCACTCAGCGCTGGCCAACATCAGCAACAGGACGCAGATAGCGCCGCCGGCCATCATGAGGATGATGTTTTTTTTTTTCCCTCAGCTACCCCAACGTCACTAAGCAAAACAACCGCTGCATCACACCACTCAGCACTGGCCAACATCAGCAACAGGACGCAGATAGCGCCGGCCATCGTGAGCATGAAAAACGCGAGATCCTGGGAATGCTGGAGTATAGCAGGAGGACGACGTTAAAATCATCAAGACCATCATCATAGGTCAGTGTGAGAAATGTCATGTCTTATTGATTAATGTTGATGCATTGTGTGAATGCATTGTGGGATTATATATTTTTATTAATGTGACCCTCCAGCACAGAACCGATCAAAAGTTGCATGGCCGTATGTTTGGATAAAGTATATAATATATTGTACCTGCAAAATTATCAAAATTTAGGTGTTAGAAGCAAGACTAATGAACATATTTCACTTTCAGTGAAGTTAATTTGTAAATTTCCTAAGGATTTCATTTGGGAAACTTCCAACCGTAATTTTTTTCCCAACTTTCCAAGGCATAAGTTACATCACATATCAACCAGTAGTTGATCAAAGATCATCCAATTAACTTACAAGTACAATTATTAAGGAAGGACTTTTTATCCCCCTGGCTTTAGCCATACAGGGGGATATTGCGATCGCGTATTCCTTCTGTGTGTCCGTGTGTGTGTGTCTGTGGTACGTGTGCGTATGTATATGAAAGACAGAAAGTTCCATTTTGATAAGGTTCACTGAAAGTACAGTCATCAATCTCAACAAAACTTGATGGGTGGTTATTGCTGGTACCGCAGCTACCCAGCTCAGGCCTTGGTACATGTCAATTTTTTACCCTAGTGCCGATAAAGTTGTAACGCACACAATACACTAGGACAGCTCACTGGTCCCTAGCGACACACGCGGCTACAGAGCACAGGCCTTTTGGTACATGTCAATTTCTTTCTCTAGTGTCGTAAGTGTATAACACACACAAGTGCCTGACTAACACGGCTCCATGCCCACCAATTTCTTTCGCTGTTTTCTGGAAACCTGTAGGGTTCCCTTTTCTGTAATAAATGCACTGTTCAGATGTACAAGGAGTTTGCTGTTTCAATGGAAGGTCACAAGAAATATTTATTGTGAACAATAGATCATTGCTGATCAGTGCCCTAATAACAATGTTCAACTTCCATTCCAGGCTCCCATCTTCATTCCACTTGCCCAATACAAAAACACTAACCTTGTTCTACCTTTATTACTAAGTTTATTGTTAATCCCTGTTGCTAGGTATGATACATTCCATTTTGGTTAGGTAGGCCTACACTGAAAAGTGTCCTTACTAACTGCCTGAACATTTATACAAACTACCAGGATGCCAGGGGGATCGCGCAAGTTTCACTTTCAGTATTTTGAAATCTTGTTTCCCCCAGACTTTCATCCCAAGAATGCGGAGAGTCATCTACCGGGCTTACCGGCTTACATCATCTTCATGTGCATACGTCACGCGGACGATATCAACGACGATCGAAGGTCAAAGTGCTTCTCACGGGAGTGATCAACGGCATCAAGAAGACTGTCAAAGTAAGTGCAAATAAACAGTTTATGATTTGAACTTTAAAAAATTAATTTCTTGCATTATATGTGTGGGAGTGCTGGTCATTTTTTTTGACCCCTTAGGCCAAAGGTCAAGTTTATTATGATTAAAACAACAGAAAAAGTTTTCTCAACATGCATTTGCTTTACTAAATCAACTTGAGACTTACACCATAGTGCATGTATGTGCAGCTCCGCAGGTTGTTCTTAGGATTTCGAGTCACCTTTAGACCGCACAGGCCAAATGTTCTCATTTATCTCAAGCTTGTTCAAATGACCATATATTATTTCAGGTTTTGATTATTCAAGAATTTTATTTTTATGTAGGCCTTCTGCCAGACATTATGCTCAAAGTATTCGCCGTTGAGAAATGTCTTACTTGAGACTGAAAATATTAGGCCACTCCCAATCCAGTTAGTTTGCTTAAATCACATACAATGACTTCCCAAAAGAAAGCAATTTTTAAAAAAATTTATTTTGGGATCATAGGCATCAATACATAACATATAACCTAACGAAAACAATACAATGCCATTGAACGTTCCATATTGGTGGGTGGGTGGGTGGGTGGTGGGTTTGTGGGTTTGTGGGTGGGTTTGTGGTTTTGTGGTGGGTGGGTGGGTGGGTGGGTGGGTGGGTGGGTGGGTGGGTGGGTGGGTGGGTGGGTGGGTGGGTGGGTGGGTGGGTGGGTGGGTGGGTGGGGGGTGGGTGGGTGGGTGGGTGGGTGGGTGGGTGGGTGGGTGGGTGGGTGGGTGGGTGGGTGGGTGGGTGGGTGGGGGGTGGGTGGGTGGGTGGGTGGGTGGGTGGGTGGGTTGGGTGGGTGGTTGGGTGGGTGGGTGGGTGGGTGGGTGGGTGGGTGGGTGGGTGGGTGGGTGGGTGGGTGGGTGGGTGGGTGGGTGGGTGGGTGGGTGGGTGGGTGGGTGGTGGGTGGGTGGGTGGGGTTGGTGGGTGGGTGGGTGGGTGGGTGGGTGGGTGTGGTGGGTGGGGGTGGTGGGTGGGTGGGTGGGTGGGTGGGTGGGTGGGTGGGTGGGTGGGTGGGTGGGTGGGGGTGGTGGGTGGGTGGGTGGGTGGGTGGGTGGGTGGGTGGGTGGGTGGGTGGGTGGGTGGGTGGGTGGGTGGGTGGTGGGTGGGTGGGTGGGTGGGGGTGGGTGGGTGGGTGGGTGGGTGGGTGGGTGGGTGGGTGGGTGGGGTGGGTGGGTGGGTGGGTGGGGTGGGTGGGTGGGTGGGGGTGGGTGGGTGGTGGGTGGGTGGGTGGGTGGGTGGGTGGGTGGGTGGTGGGTGGGTGGGTGGGTGGGTGGGTGGGTGGGTGGGTGGGTGGGTGGGTGGGTGGGTGTGGTGGGTGGGTGGGTGGTTGGGTGGGTGGGTGGGTGGGTGGGTGGTGGGTGGGTTGGGTGGGTGGTGGGTGGGTGGGTGGGGTGGGTGGGTGGGTGGGTGGGTGGGTGGGTGGTGGGTGGTGGGGTGGGTGGTGGGGTGGGTGGGTGGGTGGGTGGGTGGGTGGGTGGGTGGTGGGTGGGTGGGTGGGTGGGTGGGTGGGTGGGTGGGTCCGGACAAATCTTGTCAGCGCGATAACTTGAGAAATACTTTACATATGAACTTCAAATTTGGTTTGTGGATTGTCCTTGGCAATTCTAAGAAGCCTTTTGCATTTGGGGCCAAAAGGTCAGGGTCAAGGTCACAGTGGCTGAAACAATAGAAATTTTGTCAGCGCAATAACTTGAGAAATACTTTACATATAAACTTCAAATTTGGTTTGTGGATTGTCCTTGGCAATTCTAAGCAGCCTTTTGCATTTGGGGCCAAAAGGTCAAGGGTCAAGGTCACAGTGGCTGAAACAATAGAAATTTTGTCAGCGCGATGACTTGAGAAATACTTTACATATGAACTTCAAATTTGGTTTGTGGATTGTCCTTGGTAATCCTAAGAAGCCTTTTGCATTTGGGGCCGAAAGGTCAAGGGTCAAGGTCACAGTGGCTGAAACAATAGAAATTTTGTCAGCGCGATAACTTGAGAAATACTTTACATATGAACTTCAAATTTGGTTTGTGGATTGTCCTTGGCAATTCTAAGAAGCCTTTTGCATTTGGGGCCAAAAGGTCAAGGGTCAAGGTCACAGTTGCTGAAACAATAGAAATTTTGTCAGCGCGATAACTTGAGAAATACTTTACATATGAACTTCAAATTTGGTTTGTGGATTGTCCTTGGCAATTCTAAGAAGCCTTTTGCACTTGGGGCCAAAAGGTCAAGGGTCAAGGTCACAGTGGCAAAAACAAAAGAAATTTTGTCAGCGTGATAACTTGAGATATACTTTACATATGAATTTCAAATTTGGTTTGTGGATTGTCCTTGGCAATCCTAAGAAGCCTATCGCATTGGGGGTGGAAAGGTCAAGGGTCAAGGTCACAGTGGCTAAAACAATAGAAATCTTGTATTTATTCTGAGATCATAGGGATTAGGGATTAATTCATATAAAACCTACAGAAGACACTGATGCTGTCAATGAACGTTCCATTTGACCAAGTACATGTAAGTTGATGTTAGAGTGGTGTTATGTCATGGAAACAGTCACGGTTGCGGGGCATTTGTGTTTGTAAACACACCTGACTTGTTTGTTTATATTTTTCGAAACCTTTCGAATGCTGCACTTTTAAAATTTTCAAATTACCGGTAACTCTCAAATGGATTTTTTTAAAGTTAGTGTTTTTCATCTTTCGGCAGAATCACTTTGAGGACTTTGAGTATGTGTCCTTCTGGCTGACAAACACGATTCGGTTGATGCACACACTCAAGCAGTACAGCGGTGAAGATGTGAGTACAAAGCAAGCTGTAGTCAGGGTGCCAGACCAAGACCAAAAAAGAACTTACAAAGTAGATTTTCAGTTCACTTCAGTCCATCAAAGTACCAAACCCCGACACGAATTCTATCTGATGCATAGTTAGGTTGCGGTACCTGCTGCTATATCAGATTCGAACCAGCCAGCTGACCCTGGCAAGCTTGATGGTTGAGTGGCAACACGTCTTCACTAGTAAGCAGGAGGTCGTGGGTTCGAGTCCCACTTAAGTGATGTTTTTCTTCTCACAATCACTAGGAACAACACTGAGTATACAGTGTTTATAACAAAACAAAATTTAAATATGTTGATGAAGAGAAAAACCCAATATTGAATCTGCAAAAATTGGTAACCGCACCAAATGTTATGCAGTAGTTATATCTTGTGACTGGTTGCCTAAAGGATTTTCCATTAGCACTTGAATTTACGAAACAATTTATGGAAAGATTACAAGCATCATTTTGACCTTATACATGTATCTGTCTTCTTGGTGAAATTGTTCTTCCCAGAAATTCGCCAGTCAGAACACACACCGGCAGAACGAGCACTGTCTTAGGAACTTTGACCTGTCGGAGTACCGTCAGGTCATGAACGATCTCGGAGTTCACATCTACCAAATGCTTGTCCACATCATTGAGAACAAACTACAGCCGATGATTGGTAAGCCGGATCAAAATTGACGTCAAATATTTAGCTGCTTTGGCAGTACACTGCCGAAGCAGCAATTGTTTTTGTTCTCTGCGTTTCCTTGCACACTTTGCCCATATATTTTAGCTATTTGTTTTGTACATGTTTGTTCTGCGCATGCACTTTGGCACTTTCATAGGTCCGATCAATTTAAGACTTGGCACACACTTACACCACTAACTGAAGATGTGTGCCAAAGATTTTCAACGGGATTGCGTTATCAGGAGTCAAGGTGTGATTCCAGCAATTAAATTGTTATGCCATGTTTTTCAATAATGAACACACGGTACTTTTTTGATTGTTAAGGGTGGGTCTTGTGATCAGTTGTTCTGGGTTGGAGGAGTTGGATTTGTAAGGAGGTGAAAAAGGTTAACACAAAGGGATGCATGATGGCGGATCATGATCATGATGCATGATCTACAGAACTTAAGGCCCGATTCAGTTGAAGCTTCTTGTTATAGTGTTATGTGCTAGATACAATATTGACATAATGATGATTCATTTCGCCCTTCCAAAAACACACGAAGCAGCTTGTGTTCGTTCACGAACACATTTCTAGTTTTAAGAGTTGCTGTTTTCCAAATCAGATATTGGATCAACTTGAAAAATGGCAGTGATTATCCTGAACAAACGTTTTGCAAAAATTGGTCTTTTGCTTGAAAATTGTGACGTGGTAGAAAACCTTGAAAATTGTGACATGTGGTACAAAACCAGGCGAGAGTTTGAAAAATAAAAATCACACCAGATGACTGTTTAAGTTTGATAACTTAAATATGGTTTGCTAAAACTTACACCCATCATTGAATATAATACTTTGCATAAATATAGCCCAGGATGTAACATTTAGAAGCAAAACAAATTCATCTACTTATTCAAAATATTAAGATGTTACGAACAGTGTACTGGTCCCTACTTACATGTACGAACAATATGATTGTTTTATACTCATTTGTCAGCATTTTTTTTACTTTCCTGAAATTAACTTCACATGCAATCCATAATTCAAATTCTCTTTTTTTTGGGGGGGGGGGGCTAAGGTTCCCTTGGTCTTGCCGCCGCTGCCCCCCCCCCCCCCCCCCCCCCCATTTCAACACATGCGATACAACAAAAATCAAGTGTAGTGTTTTGGAACACTTATAACTGCAGCTCTTTACTTTTTTCTCCTGGGTGCTGGTAAGCACTATCTTCACAAAGTTTTGTGGACTTTTGCATGGAAAAAGTCTTCTGGAATCTTTGGCCCTTTGAGTGCAGAGATTGACCCTCCCTGGGCCCCCAACATCTCAATCTACCCATACCCCCTGCCCTCTCCAACCCCCCCCCCCCCTCCACCCCACACAACTACAGGTTTGTACTTGATCCATGTTGTACTTGGGCGACTTGACTAGATGTTATATGAGTTCAGTTACATCATTTATTTTCTTTCCTCATGCAGACAAACATGAAAAGTAATGGCCTTTTTGCAGCAGCTATAAAGGATAATGTTGACAAAAATGAAAAATTTCCAAATCTTCTGGACAAAGAGTCAATTTGTTGAAGGTTATTTCTTTATGAAAACCATCAGATTGATAAAGAAAATCAACGATTTTGACATTTGCCTGGTGTAATACTGAAAACTTTTTAAGTCATAAATTAAGTTTTCCAAATAGCTTTTAAGATTAAAATAGCTTAAGATTACTCAGAAACTCAGACGGTTTCCGTAGGTGAACCTGAGAAGGATCATTACCGGTCAGAGAGAGACTCAAAAGCGATAAAAGTTCACATTTATTGATATTTCACTCAAATTTTTTTTTCTTCAGTTCCTGCCATGCTGACACCATTGGGTCTGATGAGGGGCCATATAACCATAGAATCCTTAATCAAACAGGTGGGTCAGTGTTCTGTGTGCGTGAACGGTAGATTCCGCTTTGTAAACACCATCGAGAGCTCCAGTAAGGGGAACAAAGTATGCGCGTGCTGGTTCTCGTATGTTCTGCGCAAAGAATGCATGACTTATTTATTTTGAATGTGCAAAAAACTGTGGCATTTTTTCATGACGGCTGTGTGTTTTAAGCGTTGAGGGGGTACTTCATGCACGAGTCCATAAAGGAAGATGCAATAATTTCTGAATGCGAGTGCTAAACTGCTCAAATGACGTGGTATGTTCTGAGGTTTGTGACACAAAAAACAGTGATTTGGGCAACACAATTTCAGTTGTGTTAGCAGTGTTTCCCAAAATTTGGCTGTTGAGTTTTTGCCTGTGCTGGAACATCCGTGAAAAATTGTCAAGTGATGGATTGGCAAAAAAGGCTAGAACTGGATTGAATTGTCATCACCTACGGCATCCGTCCATCAGGATATCTGTTCAGGCATCCGTCCGTCCAGGCCGCTTAGTTTCCCGGATGATAACTTGAGTTAGAGTGAGATTTTGGTGTTTAACTTCAGTAGGGGGTTGCCCTTGGGAACAGGCAAGTCGGGGTCGGTTTGGCGGTCTAAAGGTGAAAGGTCAAGGTCACCGTGGTGAGTTAAAGGTAAATGGTTTTCCGGATGATAAGTTCAGTTAGAAATATGATTTGGGTTTCTTACTTTAGAAGAGGGTTGTCCGTGGGTACAGGCAAGTTGGGATTGGTTTTGGGGTCAAAAGGTCAAAGGTCAAGGTCACAGTGGTGAGTTAAAGGTTCCTGTTTTGGCTGAGAGGTTTCAACGGCAATGCTGTTATTTTTTTCTGTTTGATTTCTATTTTCCGTCCTTTTCTGCAGCTCACCACGTTCCTAACAGTAATGAATAATCACGGCACGGACCCTGAAGTCGTCAAGCAAGCCATCAAACAGGTAGGAGACTTCTCTCTCCCTTTTTGTTGTTGAAAATTGACCTTTGTGTCCAAGTCCCAGACTCGAGTCTTACATTGAAAAAAACTGAAGCACAAAACAAGATGAAGAATTACAATGATTCAAAGTGTATTTCTCTATGACATTTTTTCATATTCATAGTTCCTTTTTACCCCCCTGGCTGTAAGCCGGAGGGGGATATTGCGATAGCGTATTCCTAGTAAAACATGACTACGCGTGTTTATGGTGTAAATCGAGGACACACACGTGCAATATCATCGATGAATCGAGGACAGACACCGAATCGAGGACTCCTTGGTTGGAAAACGTGTACAAAACCAATGAGAGCTGTTGCGAAAAAGTTAAGAGTACAAACAAAGGAAAAGGGAAGAGGAACAACTTGAAAGAAAATACTCAATATACACCATAAACAAACGTGCTAGTCTCCGTTTGTTTATGGTGTAAATCGAGGACACACACGTGCAACATCATCGATGAATCGACGTCAGAAACCATATCGAAGCCTCCTTGGTTGGAAAACGTGTACAAAACCAATGAGAGCTGTTGCGAAAAAGTAACAAACAAAGAGACAGCACAAACAAAGGAAAAGGGAAGAGGAACAAAAGGAAATCCTTGATTTACACCATAAACAAACCACTGCTGGTGTCTGTGTGTGCCGTGTGTTATGTTGTGGTTAGGTTAACTCTTGTCAGCGCAATAACTTGAGAAATACTTTACTTAGGATCTTGATATTTGGTTTGTGGATTGTTCTTGATAGTCTTAACAAGCCTATTGATTTTCAAAGGTCAAGGTCACTATTGCTAAAACAATAGAAATCTTGTCGACACGATAACTCGAGAAATTACTTTACTTAAGAATTTGAAATTTGGTTTTGGGGTTGTTTTTGGTATACTTCAGAAGCCTGTTGCTTTTGGGGCCGACAGGTCAAGGGTCAAGGTCACTATTGCTAAAACAATAGAAATCTTCCAACGTTAGGGGTACTGACTTTATAAAACCTGCCAGCATGCCAGGGGATTGCGCAAGTCTCACTTGCAGTATTTTTTTCTCTGTCGTTACAACAGTCCTTCTATTTAGTAACCGCCAGTACTATCAACATCATACTGCTGAGGAAGGACATGTGTCATTGGTCCAAAGGTGTTCAGATCAGGTAGGTCAATGTTGGTGAGACCTGTGCCTATACCGGCTCCCACCAGGGTGCAGACCAGTAAATACATTACCACTTCAAAAAAATCAGGGAAAGTCCTTACTCTCCAAGGTGTTTAAGACATACAGCAAAGCAAAACGTGGTTCGATCACCCTCTTTTACTTAAAATTTTGGTGGGGTTGACCAATGACTTCTGATATTATTCTCGAAAGATGACCACCCCTAAAAGTCCATCACAATTTTGAAAATGTTTTGTTGACTCCATTGCAAAATAAACCGATTTCTGGTCCAATTTCGTCGAAGTTTTCTCTGGAATTTAAGTTCAAATCTGGATAAGATCCTGGAGCCGTACTTGCTACAAACCCTCATGAGCAAGGACCACAAAACTCTCTTTAAAAAAAATGTGGGCATAAAAATGGTGATTTTGGTGTCCTTGTTGTGTTCTTGAAAGACAAATGTTATTTTTTTCAGCAGTTTTATGGAATGCTGCTTAACTTTATAACCATTTTCATATTGTGTGGGCTTAGGTACAATATGAGTGAGTTGGAAGAGTGGCTACGGAGCAGCAGACTCTACGATCGCAACATGGAGGAGACGTTGGAGCCCCTGGTCCAGATAGCTCAGCTGCTTCAGGTCAAGAAGAGAACGGAAGACGACGTCAGGCTCATCTGCGAAACCTGCACGAAACTCACTACAACACAGGTATGCTATCGATGTCTTGAAGTTTAAACGTGTGTGAAAACTGACAAAAGTGAGACTAAATAAAGACTGTTCTTGCATAGTTGGGTTGGACCCAAATGTCTCACTTAAAGAAATTATGGGGAGTTACTCACTCACTTACTCACTCATTGGGCAATAAGCTGTCCCGCTAGATCGAGAAAAAAATAACCTGGAATCATGAGAGAGGCACAAGAGTTTTTCTTTTGAAGTCATTCTGTTGACCCAACAGATTGTTTGTGACTAATAGTTGATTCTTTTTAATAAAGTGTTGTATTTTTATTCTTAGGGGGATTTTTTTTTTATTATTATTATTTTTAGAGGGGATTGGTTGTTATTGTTTTTTTAAAGCATTAGGGGAAATGGAATTTACCCTGATATGCTCTGAACATACTGATCTGAAAATTATGGCTATGAAGAGAAAACAAAACACCTGATTTTGAATTCCAGGGATGTAAATCCTCCTGGCACTTGCCCGATTTCAGGGTTTTTTTAATTTGTAAATAACGTATTGGCACCATACATGTGTGTATAGTTTTCCTTTATAGAGGAATCCGGCGACCAGGATTACAGGCTGTTGCTGCGGTGGTACCACGCACATGCTGCACGTGTTCTTAAAGACAAGGCTTACATACATTTTGGTTACCCTATTGGTTGAAGGAGCCCAGAGTGCATGCATACTACCCGAGTGCGACTCAAGTGAGCCTGGCACCACCGCAGAGAATGGCTGTCGCCGCGGATCTATATATATAAGAGAGAGTTTAACTTGGCCTCCGAGACGATGTTTGCTCATGAAAGGATCCGAGACCGCGGGCTCCCGCGGCGCCAAAATCGCTCCACGTCCGTGGAAAAATACGGAGGGTGTCTTCCGCCGGGTCGGACGCTTCGGGTCGTCCTGATTTTCCCGTACGGACCGGCGATCCTTTTCGTCTATTTTTCGTGACTGCATTTTGCACAGGAATTTTCCGTCGTGTGCGCTTTCACGTTGACTGCCTGGCCGCCCCCTGTGCTGGCTTTTCTGCGAGTCTAGACTGTGCAAGGTCAGCGAGGTCAACGTAGGGGTTTCGTTTACGTGTTCTACTCAGCCGTACTGCCAAAGCGTTCACCAAATTGTGATATGGGGTGACCTTGGTAAAATATTTTTTCTCCATGGTGCGTGGCCACCGAGTGCCCCTATTATTTCATATGCTTCGCTTGCCGCCCCTGCGCCGAGTGCAACGAATACTCAGAAGGACTACACATTAAGTATGCCTTGCGCGGTCTGACCAATCGAAAGTCTACACTGCGTAGTATATCCGGGCTATGCAAAACTGTCGATGGCAACGCGTACTGCAGCCTGCTTCACACCCTGGAAACGAGGTTGGGTCTACGGTGCTCGCTATTTGCATGATTTGAAGCACAAGCATGTGAGTGACGTGTATAGTGCTCTGTTGCATCCATCGTGTGTTAATACAGCTCCATGCTTCCACCAAGGCTGAGCGTTGTGAGTTCGCTGCCCGCCACAGTGTTGCGTTATAATTTCGGGGGCCTGTCTGGGATCAACGAAGGATCGATGCATTGCTTCAAACATCGCGATCTTAAACGCAGTCACACAAAAAATCAACGAAAATGTGTCCGATCCGGCGGAAGACACCCTCCACATTTTTCAACGGACGTGGAGCGATTTTGGCGTCGCGAAAGACCGCGGTCTCAGATCGTTTCAGGAGCAAACATTTCTCGGAGGCCGAGTAAAATTTGCTCTTATATAGATGGTTGACCCAAGTTGAATAACAGTTGACTCGACAAGTTCCTCGCAGACAGTCTCGCAAATTGTAAGACGTTCAAGTTTACGTTTGTTGAAGAGTCCAATATACTGAAACTTAATTATGACCTTCTTAATCAGCCTTCGCCTGTGTACTACGGCAAGCCTTTCAAGTACGTTTTCTCACAAATGCCACTGCCTCACAAAATGCCAATTTAACAGACCAAAGGGAACATTTACAGACTGTTGCCATGGTACATAATTATCATGGGCGTCAATCGGTGGGGGACGGGGAACCCCTCCACCCCCCCCCCCCAATTTTAAAGCGGTGGAGACTTTTTTGGTCCCCCCCCCCCACTTTTCTTCCCCGAATAAAAATTGTAGCTACTACATGTATAATGATTCCATTACTCAGAATAGCTGATTCAATGACACCAAACTCGAAAATGATGTTTAAAAGATGATCTTCGTTTTCCAAATGCGACTGCCTCACAAAAAGCCAATTTAACAGACCAACGGCAACATTTACAGACAGTTGCCATGGTACATAATTATCATGTGCGTAAATCGACGGGGGACAGGGGAACCCCCCCCCCCCCCCCCACACACACACACACACCCCCACATTTTGAGGGGGGACATTGTTTGGTCTCCCCCCCCCCCCCCACACACACTTTTTCTTCCCCGAATAAAAATATTGTAGCCTACAATAATGATTCTATTGCTCATAATACATGTAGCTGATTCAATTACTCAAAACTCAAAACTTTCACAGATGATCTTTTGCTCAAATTGGTTTTAGTGATCAGAAATTGCCTCAGATCACACCACAGAAATTGATATTCTTTAACTGCATGTCTCACCAACTATATCCCCCATTTACATTTAACTCCCCACATTTTCATCCCCAACACTACGCCCTACCCGATCTATGATCGGGTAAACCAGCTTGTTAGTCTATACACCTCAAATTTCAGACAAATATGTCAGAATTCACTTTACATCCCTTAAGTTCACATCTCTGTGATGTGAAAAATTCCATCAAAATTGGTTGCAGTACTCACTGCTACATCAGATTTGAATATTACAAACAGTTCAGTCGCATCTTCCATAGACGACCACGCGCGTGAACATGTAGTGGCATGAACACGACACGCTCTACTCCATAGCGATTCTACACAAAGCAAAGAAAAAGACGGCCTCACGGCTGTTTCCAAGACTTTCAGTTTAATGCACACCGAGTTTAAATCAGAAGATATATTACTTAAACATTCTGGAGGAAAAGTTTTACAAAATGAACAACTAAACATCCGTACCTGGTACATTTCCCTACTTGTGACAACACGCACATTTTGACTATTAACAGCAGAATGAGCAACGGAGATTTGCACACAATTGACAGCGTGACCGGCGGGCTACCGTAGTGTGCGTACTGCACTGAAAGTTCCCGGATTCATGATGCGCCGTTACCTCAAGTAATAAATGCACACTTGGCACTGTAAAGAGGATTTTGTAAGCTTCATTTTGATCGGTCATTCAATCCAGTTGGTAAAACTAAGACCCCGTACCTAGGACCAAACAAATTTGTCTACTCAACAGTCCTTTGGCTGCCATAAAATATGGCGAACATCATTTTGCTACGCTCCACCACTGTGTTGTTACAAAAGTAACAACTTAACGCGCGCGCGCCCACGCGATCAGGCGATGGAAGACTTGTACTGACACACACGGCGTATACACACATGCAAGGGATAAACGCAATTGCTGCGACAAAAAACGTTCCACACGCACTTCACATAATCAATAACTGACTTGATAAAGTTGAATACTGCTGTTCATGTTGCGACTCGCCGTGTACAAACTGTTTGTAATGACTAGCCAGCTGACCTGAGCAAGCTCAGTGGTTGAGTGGTAAGACATCTGCACTAGTAAGCAGGAGGTCATGGGTTCGAGTCCCACCTGAGAAAGCATTTAATTTTCGTTTCCAGCAAGCTCTTGTAAAACATTGAGTGTACAGTGGTTCTTTATTACGCCATTGAAGGCCAAACACAAAAGTATAATTGGTTGTTTTTTAATAAGATGGAATTTTTATCGGCGGTTGAGGGGACATCTGCACAAGTAAGCTGGAGATTGTTGGTTCGAGTCCCGCCCAACTAAACTTGTGAATTTTATCTCGCAAGCCCTTGGACATCACTGAGTGTACAGTGTTTATATATGTCGGCGAAGATCAAATCCCATAGTGACATTTCTGATTGATTGATACTTTATGAAAGTAATTCAAAGCAACCACATGTTTTTGCCCCCCCCCCCCACTTTACCCCAATTTACAGGTCGTGAAGATCCTGAATCTCTACACACCCGACAAGTACGAGGAAAAGACAGAAGTGTCTTTCATCCGCAAGGTGCAGGGCAAGCTAGCGGGAAGGATGACGCCCAAGAAAGATGCACAACTCCTGCTTGACACCAAGTACATGTTCCCTGTCACCTTCCCCTTCAACCCATCCTCCGTACTGCTCAATGAGATCACCATTCCCGACACTTTCAAATTGGACTGCGTCAAGCGAGTATGAGGGAAGTTACCGACGTGTAGTTCATGACATCGTCCTTAGGGCCCGTGACCATTCAGCCCCGGTATAAAAAGGGCACCCTGGTTAGCTCGTCCCCTCCCAAGAAGTCCTCTCGTACCCAGAAGTCCTCTCGTAATGGGTACCCATTTGCAGATGGGAAACCAAACAAAAGATTTGTAAAAGGATGAATTTTGTGCCCGCCATTTTTTTGAATTCCTATTAAAGTCCCCCAGAGTTAGGTCATGCACTTTCTTAAAAATGTGTGGGTTGTTTGGCAGCGCGTGTGGGCGGTTGGTAGCAGAACATGCAACCAACCACAAAAGTCCTTGAGGAGGAACTGTATAAATTCAGTGACCAGTGAACTTTCCTTTCACTTGCCCACCGACTCAACTGCAATTAACAGAGACAGGTAGTTGGCAGCACCCAGCTCCACTGTTTAAACTGTCTCTGAACCTGCCATATTCATATATTCATCCTCTGTCCTGCTCTAGGTGAGTTTGATAATACTTTTATCTTACCGGTACTTTTACTCCTAGGTTAAAGTGTTTATTCTTTACTCGAAGTTTAGACCGAGTCGTCACATGTTGTTATTATTACTATTATGTTCCTTTCATGCCATCACTGTATGTTGAGTTGAGAGAGTTGTTAAGCTTGATAGATGAATATTGAGTTCTTGGACATTCCAACTTTGGCCAATTTCCACTTGAGAAGTTCTTACTGCAGTTGACATTTTTTTATTGATTCGTTGTTGTCATTTCTTGAAACAAGCACAATCTTCTTTTGGATGTTTGATGCATTAATTTTCACATAGCTTGATTTGAGAAGTAACCATGTTCTCTAAAAGTAGAACAAATTCCAAATTGATCGATTCCCTAAATTGTTTTGAGTTTTCTTTGATTGATCTGAAAGTTTACGTACTAAGATTTGCCATTTTTGTACGAAAGACTTGTGGCGACTCTAGTCTAAATAAAGTTGAACTTTATTTAAGAAAGAAGAGTTTGTCCAAAAATCATGATTTATTATTATAAATATCCATGGATTATTCAGTTCACTTTTTGGCATGCTCCAAAAGACAATCAGCATCTGATAATCGTTCCCAGTTACTTTTGGATAGAGTGAAAAGAGGAATAATTTCCGAAGTACAAATTCTGTAAATATTTGTAACAGTTCTCTTTGATCATTTGATAAGTGTATTCATTTTGATATATCTATTGTAGTCTTTTATCTTAGCTTAGTTTATTCCAGTAGGTAGCCTTTTCTTTATTTTCTCTATATCCAAGTTTTCCATCTTATATATTCTTTTTTGTTTTAAGACTAATTTGATTATTCAGGACCTTGGTATTTTCCATCCTGGTCAACTTTTACTTTCTTATTATGAGTCATTCGTATTCACTGAATTGTTTTAAGTGTTATATTGCAACAGGTGTAACCTTGTCATGCCTGAGGCATTGGTCTTGGTATAATGTCCTTGGGGTACCTTACTCACTTCTGGGTAAGACTAACCTATGTACGTATGCACACTAGTGGTAGAGGGCATTGACCAGCACTGGTGACCGTGACAACATTACACACAGCCTATTGTTTAAAGGGACTTTCACTTTTGCTTATATGAAGAATCCATTTAGTTAGTATTTTATGAAGTTAATATTGATATTGACTTGACCACGGAACTGCAATTAACAGAGACAGCTAGCTGGAAGCACCCAGCTCCACTGTGAGGTTAGGCAGTTGATCCGAGATATGCTTGATGCAGGCGCAATCAGGGAGTCTACTTCGCCATGGGCATCACCAGTTGTTCTTGTCAGGAAGAAGAATGGATACCCTTCGGTTCTGCATAGATTATGGTAGACTGAATGAGAGAACCGTCCGGGATGCCTATGCACTCTCTCGTATCGAGGAGACTCTCGATGCCCTGCTTGGAGCTAAGTGGTTTTCATCCTTGGATCTGAAGTCTGGTTACTGGCAAGTCGAAGTACGAGAAGAAGACAAGGCGAAGACGGCATTCACAACCCCTCTTGGGTTCTATGAAGCCAACCGCATGCCATTCGGCCTCACCAATGCACCAGCAACAATTCAGAGGTTGATGGAATGCTGCGTTGGTGACCTCAATCTGAAGACATGTCTTGTTTATCTGGATGATGTCATTGTCTTTTCTCGTACTTTCGAAGAACATCTCGAATGTCTGCAGTCAGTACTCACCTGTCTTCGGGAACATGGATTGAAACTGAAGCCGTCCAAATGTCAATTGCTCCGTACTTCTGTCAAGTACCTTGGGCATGTCATTTTAGCGGATGGTGTTGAGACTGATCCTGACAAGATTGCTGCACTAGAGAGTTGGCCAACACCCACAAATCACCAGGAGGTCTGGTCATTTCTTGGGTTTGCTGGGTATTACAGACGCTTCATTGCTGGCTATTCCAAAATAGCGAAACCCCTCCATGCTCTTACTATTGGCCTCCCCGCCAAGCGTAAGTCACGCCCATCGTGTCATCAGAAACCCCCACCTTTCATCTGGACCCCTGACTGTCGGAGAGCCTTTGAGACATTGATTGCCCACTTGACGTCAGCACCGGCACTTGCGTATGCCGACTTCAACCAACCTTTCATCCTACACACTGATGCAAGTCTTACTGGACTCAGAGCTGCTCTGTATCAGCTCCAGGATGGTAAAGAACGTGTTGTGGTGTATGCAAGCCGTGGACTGTCGAGGAGCGAGCAGAATTACCCTGCTCACAAGTTAGAATTCCTTGCTCTCAAGTGGGCAGTCACGGGAAAGTTCCATGACTACTTGTATGGAAATCAGTTCCGAGTTGTAACTGATAACAACCCCCTGACGTACGTCTTGACGACTGCTAAACTTGATGCCACTGGGCATCGCTGGTTAGCTTTGTGTCTGCGTACAATTTCACATTAGATTACAGAAAGGGCAGGCAAAACGGTGATGCAGATGGCCTATCCCGTCGTTCCCATTCCAAATCAGAACAGACCGCCATGAAGACAGTCAGCAAATGAGGTGTTTAAGGCCATTGCCGGCTCTCAGAGTGCAAGCTGGGCCAGACAGTCTCCTGCTCCTCATGTCCCGCTTGTGGAAGCACTTGCCTTACAAGGTAGTGCGGTTCCTTCTGCAGTTGATGACCCTCCTCTGTGGCCTGGGCAAAGCTCCTTACCTCGGGTAACTATGGAGGCATGGAGAAATAACCAGAGGAGTGACCCTATTTTAACTAGGGTCATTGGCTATATATAGAACGTGGTCATCATCCCGACAAACAACAGAAGCGATCTGAACATCGTGATGTCCGCTCGATCTTGCGAGATTGGGACAATTTGGCGTTTTGGGACGGTGTCCTCTTTTGACATCAAGAGCAAGATGGTGAGAATTTTTTTTAGCTGCTTCTCCCGAAGATCTATCATGACATGGTTTTCAAGTCTCTTCATGATGAGGCTGGTCATTTTAGTTGAGAATGCACATTGGATCTTGTTCGTTCTAGATTCTTTTGGCCTTACATGGCTGAGGATATTGACAAGAGAATACGGACATGTCCAAGGTGTATTCGGTGGAAGCTTCCACCTGCTGCTGTATGGACTGTACCTCTTGTTAATATTAAGACCAGTAAACCGATGGAACTTGTCTGCATTGACCATCGTTCTCTGAAGTCATCTGGCGAAGACCAGTCAAGCATTCTGGTCATCACAGATCATTTCAGTCGGTATGCACAGGCATTTGCTGTCCCTAATCAGACTGCAAAGACTACAGCTCGAGTCTTGTTCAACAACTTCATAGTGCACTGAATTTCCAGGTCGACTACACTCCGACCAGGGAAGGGGTTTTGAATCAGAGGTTATCAAGCAGTTGTATCAGGTAACTGGCATAACGAAAAGCAGAACCACGCCGTATCATCCCCAGGGCAATGGCCATGTGGAAAGGTTTAATAGAACCCTCTTGGAGATGCTTGGTACATTGCCTGAGGATGGTTATGGTTATGGTTTATTTTTTTCACATCATAGCATGATAGCACATCAACATAATAAACAGGAAACTATGTAAAGAATGACAAACAATGATACGAGGGATCAACGTTTTCATGTAGTTTTTGAAGTTTTTCATTGATCTAAAGATATGCATTGGTTTGAGGTGGTTCCACAATAGAGGTCCCTGGTTTCTGACAGTCGATAAGTAAAGAGATGTTCTAGCTTTATGGAGATGAAGGTTTGAGGCTGACCTTGTTTTATGAGAATGGATATCCAAGTTTTTGTTAAGGATATGAAGGCTGCATGGATAAAAAATCTGGCGCCTCTGGTTCATGCTTACAACTCAACAAGGAATGATGCTACTGGATTCTCACCATACTTCTTCATTTATGGTAGACATCCCAGGCTTCCTGTTGATGTTGCCCTTGGTCTGGAACCAAGAAATCCACCAAAAGGATCCCATAGTGCCTATGCTGACCAACTTCGAGAACGCCTGTCTATCTGCTGCCTATAAGTTGGCCTCAGCACCTGTAGGCAAATGTGCTTTGAAGAACAAAACACAACATGATCTAAATCTACGGGCTGCAGTGCTTCATCCAGGTGACCGAGTCTTGGTGAAGGTAGTTGCACCAACAAGCAACTACAAAATATCTGACCGTTGGGAGGAGAGCGCATACAGCGTAGTAAAACAGGTTAATCCTGATATCCCCGTGTATATGGTGAAGCAAGAACAGGGTGGAGGTTTGACTCGAACACTTCATAGGAACCTGCTCTTGCCATTTAATACCTTGCCCCAACCAGTTCCCACAAGTCCACCAAAACAGTCCTCGTCATCAGATGATGACAAGTCTGAACATGATACAGGTGATGTAGGTCAGTCATTGGAGGATGACGGCACAGAGAATTCCCTGCCTCAAAACACCCCTCATGACAAACCCCAGAAACAACGACCGCGACGACAAGTCGAACCCCCAGATCGGTTAGGATTCTCCAATGCCCAGATCGTTCATGTACCAGAATGGAAAGAAAAAGCAAATTTGCTGTATTCTATTTTGGAAGATAAGCCATGCGAACGAACGAAAGAA